GAAACGATTTCAACGACAGATACTTCTTGTTAACTTTGCACACAGATCTGCATTTCTGCAGTGAAACGTCTGCTGGACAACCTGTACTTAAACGTTCATATATCGCATTGCATTAGTCATTACAGTGACTAGTGAGCACATAATTAACACATAATAGTCACAATATAATTTGCACAAACTCTTGCTCTCGCCTGTGGTGAGACCAGAGGTTTGCTACAAAATGGAGACCATATAGTACTTTCACAAAGTTCACAATTTTGTGCTTCATTTGGAATTTGTAAAATTTGGCAAATACCATCATTAATTTATTTTGCTCCAGAAATGTAATAACTGGTCTGAGAAATCGGGACTGCAGCTCTCCTTCAACTGTTCTCTTTTCAGAATGAGCGTGGGATATGATAAAGGACTGATGGCCTGACATTGCCACTAATGTGAACGTGGTAGTGTTCAGCCAGGATGACTGATGATTCTTAACTGGGAGTTCGGAATAAAGAAAATCATCAATGCTAAACATTTATAAAAAAATATTTGTAAAAGTAATAATTAATGTACACCGCAAATGTTTCAGTATCCATTGGCATAAAGTAATAAAAATAATAATTCCTCAAACGAGAAAATAAAGCTGAAGAGAAATACAAATCTCCTGTGTACTGTATATATTTTATTGCAGGAATGGTATAAAGCAGGACTTTAAAATTGATTCGCCAAGACTTATTATTTAGTAAACCACTGATGAAAGTGGCCATTAATATCTCCCTGGGGTCTCATATCTCTTCCCACAGCATCTTGTGTTATGTGTTTGCTGATTCCACTAAAATCCTATTTGAATAAATACTCATGTCAAGACAAGCTTCCTTCTGCCGCACCTTGAACAACATACTGTATATCTTTATTCACTACTTCCTTAACAACTATTCTACACAGTTTCCAATCTAGGCTCAGAGACCTCCTGCCTTAGCCACACCCCCTGCCAATGCTTTCCTTCCAATCAAAGTAATGAAGAACATAACTTCTTTATACCTCTTCTCTTATCATCTTTTCCCCTCACTGTTCACATAGAACCTTAATGCTTTACTGACTGCCTCCATTCAATTCTTGAGTGAACCCTGGTTCTACTTTACCACTTTCTCAAGCACACTATCCCTACTAATATTCAGTTTCTTATCTCTCTGAACAGGGCACAGTCTTTCTGCCTTATGTCAGACTATCTGCAGCGTCATACCACCACCTTTCACCTACTTTCAGAGCACGTTCATTCTCCATCCTTGTTCCTCACTGACGGCATGATCTACGCACGGAAACCAGGGCACGAATTGGATTGTTCAGGATTAGTACAGTGAATTGTACAGATCAGGAGAAGGGTATAAAATAAATTCAAAGAAACTGAATATCCCCTTGACCACGGAACTACTTAATGGAATGTCTATTGTATCACTCATACACTACTTAATCAGACCATTAGTCCGTCTAAAAGAGCGACTGGGCAATGAGGAAACTGGTTAGGAATGCCACCATGTCTTTGAAAAAGCTAGAGTTCAACAGCTGAAATAGGAGAAAATGCTCATAGGTCAACACTATCTTAGTCACTCAACAAAGCCCGCCTCTATGATACTGAAAAAAAAAACACCTAAAATACCAGTAATAAACAATAATATCAGTTTACAACAAAGCGGTGAAGCGATTCTGCAGAAACATGTGGCAAAAGGTATTGTGGTCAGACAAGACAGAATTGGATCTTTTTTATCTAAAATAAAAACATAAAGTCTGTTTAATGATGTGCAATCGAACACTGTCCATGTTACAAAGCTTAATCTCATCAGCATGGACTGGGAAGCTTTCCAAGATTGAGTTTTGACTCAGGGTGTGACTACTTGCAATCAACATTTTAAATTTGGATTTACTTTTTCTAATTATTGCTGACATTTAATTCTATTAACCTATGAAAGTGTTTACACCATCATTTGTATTCCAACAAAATGGGAAAAACAGAGGGATGCAATTATCGACACTATGATCGCAAATTCAGTATTACACACCATGTCAAATACCCATAAATATTGCTGTTTAAAGCTCATATGAGTAGAAATCCAACTGTTCATTAAAAAGCGTCTCTCCAAAGAATCCCTTAGTTCGACACTTCAACTCTGCTCTAAACCAAGAGTCAGCTGCAGTAATTAGTGTAATACTATAGAAAAGATCCAGACTGTATAATTTTCATACTGTGGTGATGGAGTATTGTCGCTTTAAGTAAATGGTGCTCTTGCTGCCTTCAGTAGCTAAATTTCACATCGACAAATTTAATGGAAGCATTTTTGAATATGTGGGAATATATAAATATACAACCACCTAAATGTACTGTAAGACAGACTATACTGTAAATGAAAGCCATGTTTGATTTATGACCTCTAAAATTCTCTTTGGTGAATATAACACTTGCAAAAGCAATGTATGCATCTAAATTCTAAAACGGCCTGACACATTTTACACACAAAAGACTTCTTCTGAATAGATATGCTGCCACTAGAGAATGGAGCAAGAAAATGACAGAATACTTTAACTACAACAAAGTCTGCTGCGCTGCTACAATCAGATCATTTAATGCAGAGCATGTCCCTGAGAAAATCTTTATAGTGGAGTTAATCAAATGAACGTGAATGACATTGTGCAGCTTACTGCCTTCTTACCATCTTAAACTGAAATGGAATTTTTATTGCTCAACTGTTGGACATGTTGGGAGATATGAACAGGCACCACTATAAACATGATGCATTTAAGTGCATGTAAGAGGAGAAACACCTTTTAAATGGAATTGTGAGTTCCAGCTTTTTATTATTCTGTCTTCCCAGAGTTTATGCTGATCTTAAAGACGAGAGAATAGGTTTCTTCATGCATACTTTACATTATAGATAAATTAGTGTTCAACTGATGAACACTGAAAATGTAGTGTTCTGCAAAAACTACGTGTATTTACTTTCAGGTTCACCTGAAAAACAGCTTTTTTTAAAATTAAAAAATAAAAAAAAATTTAAAGACCTCACTCCTTGTTATTTTCTAGTCGGTAAAATAGACTCCAACTATATGCTTTGATCTCAAATATCTAATAGTTTCCTGGCATAAGGACAAATTAATGCAACTGAACTACCATTTCAAAACTTTACTTTTAAGAAAAACTATGGTGAGTACAAACTAGAATACTTTTTGTTATTGTAACTAAAATGCATTATACATATGCTGTATGAAGATTTTAAGCTACCTTTGAAAATATTATGTGTATTTAATTCTACCAGTCACAATTTCTTTCCCCTATTGAACCCTTTAATACGTTTTTACAACACAAATCCTTTCTTTCCCATACCATATTAATTTCTGTTGAATTAGAATTCCAAAATCTTGACTCATAAGTACACAGATTCAATATCTAGATTGCAGAGTTTATTGCTGCTCAGCTTTGCTGGTTTAAGGTAAACTCATTTCACTGTACACCTGCTATTATTTGTGTATTACTTCTACCCTGCATTTAATCATTTTCAGTCTGCCTCTGACGCTGATGCCTAACTCAAGGATATTAGCTGCAGATGCCACGGATGTACCTGTCACATAAGACAGTAATGAGCTAGAAGGAATCACATTGTTCCTTGGAATGTCAATTTCCGTAGTCCAATGAAGGCACCATGCAGAAAAGAGGTGATGTGTCAAAGATTAAAATATTAGATGGCACAGCAGAGTGGAGAGACTCGCTAACATGCCAGGTAAGACACAAGGAGATTAAACAATGTCACTGCGAAATCTGTGAGCAGCATCTTATGGAAGATGAAAAACAATGAGTCTATCAACAGACAACAAGACTGGCCAGCACTCAATAAAATAAAAGGTAGATATTTTGCATGTGTCAAATCTTATATTACCTATTCACAAGTGTCCTTATATTACCTATAAAAGTGTCCAAAGAATCTGGAAGAGACCTTATCCTTCTCTATGTTCACTGTGTATATGTTTGTGTACACTGTATACGCACAAACAAAACTATAAACCTGTGGTGCTTCTCTGTAATATTTAATTTTGGCCACAGTGCTTAAGACAGTTATTCAAAATATTAATACAGCATCTATAACTTCAGTAAGTCATCTAGATGCAGTGCTAAACAAATTTCAAAATCTATTTTTAGTCAAAACCATCATTTTATGGTGGCCCTGTGATTTTTTGGTCATTATTATTATTGTGGAGCAGCTTCATGTTTCTCACCTGACCTTCTAACAGCTCAGAGTCTCTCCTTATTAGTAAAAATTAGTTAACCAGTCACATTTGTACAGGATACCAAATTAGGAGAAGTTGTAAACACTTTAAAAGCAGAGAGTTACATTAAAAAAGTTAGATAAAATTCAAGAATGGGCAAACAGCTCTGACAGCCTGGTAGAACATATACCTTGCAGCCATCAGTTTTTAATGGTGACCATACAAGACATTGAGTTTAAGACTTGCATTTACAAACACCATGTGATGACTTAGAACTTGTTGACTTCAGTTATTAAGATACTGTATATGAAGGCTTCATCCATCACTGATTATATTACTTTGTGTTGTTCGAATAGTGAGCTGTGTCAAGCATGTATAGGCTACTAAGGAACAAGTAAATCATTATTTCATTCTAAAAGGTGAAGAAAAGAAACGCTATATTTTGGCTGTGGAGCCTTCAAATCTTTCCCACTCTCCCTCACACCTGAAAAAGGCTCCACAGCCAAAACATAGTGTCTCTTTTCTTCATCTTTTTCTTCACTACATGGAATCAATCTTTACCCGTTCTTATGCAAATTACTTTACTGTACAATTCTTGTGGACCCAGTAATACAAAACTTTGCTATCCCACGCAGTTTTTTTTTCTAGGCAAGAAGGAATGCACATAATTCTTAAATTCTATACACCTAACTAAAATTTCACAATACTAAAATCACATAAAGAAATGTATAAAGAATCTGTCTTGTCAATAGCTTTACATTACTTACTCCACATTGCAGCAGTATTTCCACCTTTAGTGATCTCCCACTGAAAGACTGCATTTACTTTTTTCACCAGATCTTTCCCTACTTCATTAATGCGTCGCCCAATCTCAGCAAAGACAAGGTCACTCTGAAGCCCCACAGCCTAGAAAGAATTTAAATATATACAGAAAATGGTTAAAGTCTAGGTGATGCACAAGGCCTAGACACATGTTTCCAATTGCAATAGAATTATTACTTCAACTAGGCACTTCATTTTAAAATGGCAAAGGTGTGTATAAGTTTTAAAAGAATTTCTAAACACATTGACAGTTAATAAGATTGCTTTTTTTAAACCTATAACTCAGCAGGAATTATTCATACATTTTTTATTTATATGAATTTCTATTTTTTATCTTCCGCCACAAACTTTTCTCATAAAATAAACCCTTATTCCAAAAGTTAACTGCATGTCTTCAGAGAAGAGAATTATGTTGTATCTCATTTGAACCAGCCAAACAATTATAAATCTTTAGTTAACCACTTCCACACATTACTGTAGGGATTACAAAATGTTTTTAAGTCTCCCTCCTGTTTTCCTCTCCACATAATAATAGCCATTTGAGCTGAAATGTTTGTTTCATGTGTCTATATGGCTTTTTTCAAACCTGTTTTTATTATTTATGATTTATTGTAAATTCCAAATGTTTTGACTCCGCAGTTTCAACCAAAGGTATTGATCTGCAGTTGGCCAGAAATAAGCTTCTCAAAGATATGAGTACTACTTAAGCCTACATGAACAACTTTTTTACCTATTAGGCTTAGAACTGTCCCTTAATAACATTATTAATTATTCAAATAAGAATCACATAAGATTTAATAAACTGCTGCAATTGTCTCTCATAAAAAACAGGAACTGATATATCTAAGGAGAGAAGAAACAAAATATTAATTTAACCATCCTTTTAGGTGTTATTTATTGGAGTCCACATTTGAATTTTAATGATTTCAGTATTACTGTTTTTATTTGGATTGACATTTTACGGTAAATCATCAGCAGCAAGGGAGACAAAAAAATATTACTGGAAATTTTAAAGTACCACTTGTTTCTTTTTTCAACTTTGGTCTTGTTTGCAGAATTACTCATTTGTCTGCATCCTGTGATAGTGGCATCTTGTTGAGAAAAAAAAAATCCTGCATTGTCTCTCATGAAATACCACGTGAAAGCTAATATATCATTATAGAGTATGTTCTTCCAAGCATCCTTTTCCTTACAACTCACTTACACACTCTGATTACTCCAGCGAATTCGACAATGTGGATTTATTAGGGTTGCTGTACTTGTATCCTGCTAGAAAATAGTCATTTCTTGATAGATTCTTAGCCATTTCTTAAATAATGTTTCCATTATTTCAGGTCAAACTGTATATTCCTCTTTGTTTTTCAATGTGATAAAGATTATTTGGGTCAAAGCAAAGATACATTTCTTCAATTAGAAAGAAAAACAACAAATTTTAAAGCTTGTGTGCTTACCAGTTTACCAGTCCACTAAACTCACATTAATTCATTTCATTATAGATAAACTTGACAGATGTATGAAAAACATATTGTAACCAGTATAAATATGCTCAAGGAGATGATCAGGACTGAGTTGATAATGACAGATGTCAAAGTATTACAAATGAGATGACATGATACCTAGAGCTAATGCAGGTGTATTAGCTAATTGGGAAAGAGGAATATTTTTATACAGAAAGTTTGCAATAAATTTCTACCAAAACGTCATCACATATTTTTTGAATGTGCCAGATGAAAGATACAGTCACTCATTCATAGTTTCAGAAATATTTTTACTTTCTTCCCTTAGCCTACAGTATGTACCCTACATGTTGCATTCATCAGCAATTTTATATGGATTATAATTATAAAAGAAAAAATGTGGACAGCAATGAAATAACAGGGGTGTACTGTACTGACTCTATGGAGGAAAACACATGAGTAAAAACTAAAAATCGATATGATTATGAATCCTTAAGTATTTGCATTATTGGTTTAAACATACTGCACGATGTGTTCTGAGGTTTAAAGTGATAAATGTAATTTCAACCTTATCTAAAAGTCTGGCCCTCAAACAGAAGGTTGACTCTTGAGTCTATACCAAGGTGTTATAAATAGGACATCTGGCCATTATGTACAGTGAGACACAAACCACAGGAAACATAAAATGGAACTTATATGCATTTAAAAGGGAGAACAAGAGGCACTTCTCTATCTAAAGAGTTGTGCGAATATTGAACAAGCTACACCCAATTGAAACATTGGCTATCTTCAAGGAATGTCTGGATTAACTCCTGGAATTAATAACTTACTAACTTTAACAAATGGACTACTTTGTTTCTAACCCTTGTTATATTGATCAATACAGGTTACTGGAATCTACCTTTAAGGTCCAGCAGGTCAGCATAATATATTCAAGGTCTTAGGTCTTACAAACAAGGATGATAGCCCTGAAGAAGTATATAAAGTTCTCAAAATGGCGATGCTTTAATTACATAAATAATTTCTATATATTTTTGCTAGAGCATATATTTGAAACAAGATCCAAAGTGTTTTACTTTCAGAAAGAGGATTCTGTATTAACCTTTACTTCAGTTTTGCCTGTTTTGGATGCTAAGTCATGCCCACATTCTATAGTTTACAGGCTAAATAAAATAAGATAACCATTTTATGATTGGTAAAGTAGAGTGAAGTATTTTTAACTTTTATAAAGTGTTCAATTAATATAGGCTGAGCGTAAATAATTGTAATTGGGAAATAAGTCAATTCTTACCACAGAAGGTTTCTTTCCTTCCTCCAAAGTATCTCTGAGATCTACATAAGCCTCAGACAGAACCAGTTCTCCAGTTTCTTTCACCTAAAGAAAAAAAACAAAGTATACAAAAGTTGAGCATGAGCTTATAATTCTTTCACCATCACCACTGCTAATTCAATAACTTAATAGTAGCATTTTTAACAATGGAACTGAAAGTAACTCTTACCGGTACAATTATGTGTATAGAAAATGGACCCCAGATTCAAAACATAAATTATTATGACTTACTATGGCAATTTAAGCATATATGCGCTTTAAAAGTCAAGGTCAATATCTTTATGAGGTCAGGATTGTGGGGAGACATCTGATTGATTAATATATTTAACAACGCAGGTAATGTGCAACAACACTGCATACACTCGCTATAGATGTTACAATGTGATTTTACCCTCTCATTTTTCATCTGTAGCTGCATTAAACAGATCTCGAAAACTCTAGAATTGTTGTGCTGTTTACAATGTAACCACAGTAAAGCACTTCACTCATTTGTAAATCAAGAAATATAGTGCATAACAAAACAAACGTGTGATTTTACACAGCATATATACAGTATATTGCATCTTAGTAATACATTTAAATAAAGAATTTAAAGGCAACTGTTCAAATAAGATAGTAATATGATATTATTACATTACTACATTATTATTATTTAACCATGGACTTCTATTTCAAGAACACAGCTATGTCCTCACCTTGCACTGAAAATGGATTCGATTCCCTTCTTTCCACATTTCAGTTTGTAAGGACTGTCCAGGAATCACAGGCTTTACAAATCGCACCTAAGAAGTAGAAAAATCTAATTATGAACTATCAATCAAGTACCAAGAATAAAATTTAATTGTTCTAACTAGATTGTACAATTTCATAGAAACAAAGGTACAAATGGCAGGATTCTGTCCGGCTCATTTGGCTGCTAAGAGCTTTTTGATGCAAAGATCTAACCCAGCTGCTAGATTACCTGTCATTATTAATATTGCTAGTTTGGCTGCTCCAGACATTCACTGTTGTGTAGAGAAGTGCATCCTGTTCTCAAACCTAAATGCTCTTCTCATTATTGTCCATGAGTCTCATGTTAACTGCTGAATTTACTGAAGGCTGACTACAAAGTTTACCAAAGTGTCTCAGTTTACTATAGCTGAAAGAACTAGAATAGAAAATGCTGCCAAAGCTGAGAGAAACATCTCGCAGATTTTAAAACTTGTTCATTTTTGTTTTATTGCAATATACAGCTAGTACTTTTTGACAAATAATTACAATGCCATTGTAGTGACACCATAGGTAGCATATGGCAAAATGAGGTTCCTTTATAAACACCTGCTTTAGAATCTCACCTTTATGTTGCAGCAATACTTTATATGCCAACATGGGGTCATCACATACGTGGGGAAATTCACTGAGCTCATTTAAAAAAAAATGTTTGGCAAATTTACTCCAAACGTGGTATTAAAATTAGTCAAAATGGGGCTCTTGATTAAACTGTGATGGAGCCTGGTTGCCATTTATTTCTCAAACTTCACCAACTTAACCAATTTTGCAACAAACTATAAACTCACTGACATACTTGACTGGTTTCATTACACTAAATCAGCTTCAGGTTTTTTTATTTCACCTATTGCAGTGATACTTTTTACATCCAGAACAAGTTATCAAGCCCAAACGTGGTACAGATCATTACATCTTATTAGTTTACTCCCGGTTCATTCACACCATTAAAGTACTGTAGGTACTGATTTGCTTGTAAGTCTTGAAAACTGTAATATACTTTTTACCCTGTAAGTACTGCTATGAATATATACATATAATTGAATATTTATACTATAAAATAGCCATACAGGTAGAAAACAATGCATTTTGGTGAAAGTAATCCACAATGTTTTATAATCTCGAAAACATTCCTAAAGTGTAACTTTGAATACATTTATTACCTTTTGGATTCAAGTGAGGGCACATTAAAAAAACATTGGAAGATATTTTACTTTTAGATTTTATTTTTTTTCTAAAAATCATTTCTGTATTTCAGCTTATACACCTGGTGTAAGCGAAAAGCATAATGTGCCACAGATTGACTGCATAGCGTGAGATACATTATGCTATCTATTCTGAAAGAAATAATGCTCTATCCCAGAGGAAGAAAACCTTTCTGTCAGCAAAAACTGGCTTTTTTGTTTAATAGATCCCACATTTACAGACGTGAAAAGCATAGCTTTGTCCCCATGAAAACACAAGACAAGTAGCCCAATTATACATGGTACCCTGGTCTTTATATGTGCACATCATCACAGCTGTTGGGAAGAACTATTAACCTAACAACAAGCAACTGACCAGGTAATATTTTACTACCAATAGAGAAAAACAAAAATTACAATTTTTTGGTATTATGATATTTTTTGGTTGTTTCCACTACTGAATACCAAACATTCTGAAAGAGGATTTTACAGTACCATCTTAGGAAAACAGCAAAGGTCTCCTTTCTTTTCAATATTCCTGTACTTTCTTAAGCTTCCACTTTCATTATTGTCTAGAGTATCAAATACCCATCACTTGAACTGGAAAGTAAATAACATAAAATGTAGAAGTACAAACTCTGATCTCAACAAAACATTCTGAGCAAATTCCACCTGCTCTTGTATATCTACAAAAGTTGTCCCTCATAAAATTGTCTTGCTGTACTTCAGCAAGGGCACTGAAAAATACTAGAACTTTAACTTATTTAACAATATTAGGTACATGAACTAATAAATCCATACTGCAACAAACATGAGTTTAAATGTTTTGACTGTTCATGCTAAACCCCACCAAGTCCTAATTAAATTTATTTCTAGGTCAATTAGAGAGGCTATCAAAAGAATGACCCCACCACCTTGGACTTGTTTCACATTTTGTTGTGTTACAATATGAAATTCATAATTCAGACCCTCCTAAATTCATTAAAAATATAAGTGATTTAATAACTTGGTCATTAAAGATCCCATGGCACCATTCAAAAAGGTAGGGTAAAGAAGTCCTGTTATCATGGCTAAATTCCAATTCAGGCATTCACAAAGAAACTGGATTTTCTAAAGAACTCCCTTATTCAAGTGGTGAAGTTTTTTCTCACTTTTCCATCTAATCAGCTATGTTGTGGTGCTTATGCCTCGCAATTATGGATGGTGCAATTCAGAGGTGGAAAAAGGAGGTCACTCCTTATATGTAAAGTGCTTTTGGATCCTTCAAGGTGAAATGATGAATTAATAAAATAAATGAAAGAAATTATTACTTTCTCAATTGTGATAAAAAGCAGTATAATTGGATTATACCACGGCTTATCAATATCATTCCTGCTATATTCCTGTGGAGTTAACAGCACATATTTTTTATATTTAGATGTAGAAGTCTCTTACCTTGATTGATTTGAATTTGGAGACATCATTATTTGCATAGTGCTTCAGTACATGTCTTGCAGCAAATCCAAAGGAGCATAGTCCATGTAGAATAGGCTTTTTGAATCCTAAACCAAAATGATAAAACAGCAAGACTTGCTTAGAAAATTTGAAACAAACAAAAGACTATGCATGACCTATTATCTTAATACTTCTCTTACATATATACAGATCCAGCTGTATGTGTGACCAACTATCTTAGTACTTGCCTTACATATATAAAGAATATATAGGTGCCATCTAGAATGTGTGTCACAATTCTCACCAGTGGAAAGCACCCTGCATTCATGTTTTTGTCTCAGTCTAATAACCATATTTTGTGAAAATCTAAAATATTGTATATGTTGAATATACAAATAAAATACTGTACAATGCCTAGCTATTGTTTTAAAATTTAATGTGGCTGAACAGTTTTATTTCTGAAAAGGAGATTGCATGCCTTGAATGGAGCCGGGATTACGTGTTCCTTTGCATCCTACGCATGTCGTTGCAGCTACCTACTTAAGTTATATAAATACTTATAAAAAAACAAATCTAGACAGGACCTGCAGGACCCAAGAAGCAGAACAATGGATTTCTGGGAGGAAAAGTTCTGGCTGACAGTGGAAAGAGTGGGCCATCTAGGTTTACATTTTAGGGTTAATTTTCAGAAACTAAAAAAATGAAAAATACAGAGGCAAACTGTCACAGTGGCTCAGGACACAAGTACAGCTAGTGAGCCGCTGCATTAGTTTGAAGCAATTTTATGCAGTATACACTAAATTGAATAGAAACATGGATAAAATTAGTCAGGATAACTTCTGGTTCCTGATCCTACCTTTTCACTTAAGGTACCTTTTTCACTATTACAGAGTAGTGCAGTCCTGCAATTGACAACTCGGAAAAATAACAAGGTGCCACACGTCACCTCTGTCTACTACGGTGTCTACCCCTGCACACCTGTGGACACCTCACGTATTGTAGATGGCTGCATCTGCTTATGATATTGCACTTTTCCACTTGGTATATTTTAAGCTTTGAAACAACATCCAGTAGCAACATGTTAATTGTTTCTACAATTTCATGAATCTATAGTTCAAAGAAAAAAAAAATATTTTCTCATATAATAAATAAAACCCAGCACTCCTCAATGAAATAGTATAACCAAAAATTGGTGTATTATGATCTGAAATATTCATACACAGTCAACTCAGTACTGTATTACAAATATACCTGCTGATTTCCCTCTCAAAAACAACACCATCACCAGCTCCTTACCTCCCATGGCTGCAAAATTCGGATCGATGTGCAAAGGGTTCCAGTCTCCGCTGAGTCTGTACAAAGCCGCCTTTTGTAGAGAAAATAAAATATCAATTTTATTTTCAGACATTTTAACAACAACTCAATCCTTCATAGAATGGTGACAGCAAAAAAAATGGATCTTTACATTGCATCTGTTCTTTAGAAGTTTATTACCTACAGTATATTTTATTTTAAATAACTTGTACTTATACATAGAATGCATATACAGTCATTCAGAAGCGTAGATATTTTTTATAAAGACTAGATACATTTACAAATTTGGGCTGTGTCAATAATTGACAATTGGACAGAAGGTGCTATTCAGGTGGGTCTGTAGTTGTGTGAACTTGCCCGGCCATGCAAAACGAACCCCTGTGGCTTGTCTGACAGGTGTGAGCTTGTAAAGACATCAGCTGTATCTGTTCTTTGTTCAGTTGAACATCACGTCTAGTAGTGCTCTCTTTTTCACCATTCTTTGGAGAATCCTGGTCACCTCTGACTAGTTTCAAGACCCAGGCTCAAACTCCCAAACACCAGGCAAGAGAGTTCAATATGCTCTTAGAGCACACCTTAGATCTAAAACTTAAAAGTGTTCCTTCTTTTCACCATTTATTAGTGGTTTTATTATCTATCTGACATGTTTTTCTTTGTATTACTAATTCATTTTAAAAAAATTAAAATTTGTCTTTTGACTGTTTTATATGTAAACTTCAATGTTAATCATTATATCACAAAGTTATTTCAGGTTGCTTTTCACCTTGCGATATTACCATCTCTCCAGTGAAGACATCTTGTGAACCTAAGGAATGGTGATGTCTTACAACCTTGCTCGCACTGCCATACTATATTACTTAACAAGCAACAGTTTTGTTTTGATTGCAAAAATCAAAGTATTAAAACTATATGCAGTATTTTTAAATATAAAACAGTATTTTATATTTTATACTATTTTATTCTAGTTTTATACTATACAAATCTCAAAAAGGTTATCACGTTTCAAGAATCATCATCCCTTCTTTATTCAAGATAAATGTAATCAGAGGCTTGGCTGATCTATGTGTAACATTTGTGATCTAGTTCCAACCAAGGGATCTACCAGCATCTATGAGCTCTATGACAGCAGCCGCGAGACATGACATGGAATGATCTGCTGTGCGCAATGAGCTGAAGGTATACACAGCAATGCAATGAAGGGTTATTCCTTTTGACATATTGGAAAACACACCAAGACTCATTGCCTTTGATGGAACAACAGTCTCGTTGTTTCTCTTTTTTGTGACAGCAATATCATTTGAGTGATCATTCAAAGAGAGTAAACATCAAAGCACCATAACTGAACAAGAGCACATAAAAATAATGTTACAGAAAGTTGAAGCATACATTTAATGTGATCTTAATATTCAATCTATTAATTTATGATTCTTCTTCTAGTGTTTAATATTTTACTCTTACCAACGACAGTAAGAATTGTTTACTGCCGATCTTTCTATACTTTATTTAACATTAATGGACATGTGATTAACTATGTTGATAAGTACCAAAACTGATGAACAGCCAAATAAATCTATGAAAGTATAAACCATATTTGCTGTGTTATTTTTTCTTCTTACCCATAAATGCATAATAGTCTTGGAATATTTAATAAATATATAACAGTCCAGGGCAAGCAGTTGTCAGGTTGACACTTGGGGTCTCTCTCCGTTACGGAGCCAGCTTGAGGCTGACCTGCTGAGGCAGTGTCAACCTATATTTAAAGCTGAATTTATAGAAATTGAGATTGAAATATTATCCTTCTAATTTACCATTTTTAAGAGATTCCAATTTTAACATATTCAATTACACATAATTTTCACCGTGAGTGAAATTTCTGAAAAAAAAGACTGACTGAAAAAACAACTGATTCTAGCCCATTCCACAGTCCTCCCTATATTTTGATAATACTGTTTCATTCTTAGAAAAAAAAAAACACCTGCTAGGAAGCTCTTGTAACTATAGCAGCAAAAAGCAATGCTTAAGAGACCAAGGAAATAATCTAGATTACCATAACCAAGAAATAAAAAGATTTGTATTGCCACAACCAAATGTAATAGAAAACAAATTATGGGAATAATATAAATTTACAAAAACACACTATAACAATAATACCCAAGAGTAAAATTGTCAAAGACAAGACATCTTATCAAGACATGATAAGAAAGCTAGAGAAATACACAAAAGTGTTAAATCTAAAAGGAAAATAAAGCAAAGGCAAAATCTGAGCAATAACAATAGAACATTTTTTTTTCTAATCAAAATTGTATTAGACCAAAACATGACTGAGCAAATAGTGGACATTAACTCCTTGCTAGATCAAATCTAAAGTATATGGTATTACTGCAAGGCTTCCAGTATGCTTAGAACTGAGTGTTTAGAAAAATTATTACATTAATATTTCTCTTGTTATAAATTGCAAATGGAACTAAATTATTGTGAGTGCGCTGCTTAGGAATGCTTGTAAGGTGTTCTGGCTCACTGGCACACACCAAGACAACATACATTAGGTCCATCATGACACCTCCAATGAAGAATCAATGCTTCACCATCTACAACTCCAAGCCTAGGCTAGAGGTCACCTGTTATTATAAATCTGCTGAATTGCGCCAAAAGGATCCATTAATGAGGAAACTGCTACTTGGCATTGGATCAACCACCATCAATCACCAACCATGATGATCTGACTTAAAAACTGCACACACTTGACAGGTGACTAATTGTGTAACTGTGCACTGCACTGCACTGCAACTAGAACACATTCAGCTGAAAGTAACCCAGAATTCTGTCAAAAACGTTCTCCACAACAAGGGACATTTTGTGTTGAGCACCCAATTGTAATTTCACCTGTTCAAAAACATAATACAGTTGGACTTTGTTGACACCCCTGAATATCAACAAATATTCAATATAGCCGCTACAAAATATAGATGAAAAGAACTTTGAAGTTTCTCCCCATTTGAGGCTTGACCTGCAGCCACAGAGCCAATGGACAAAGACTGGATATACTGTGACCAGATTTACATATGTCATTAGAGCTGTGCCTGGGTAAGCATTCTGTTTTTTATTTTATTAATAAAATTGCAATATGCATTGTGTGTGTGTTTGTTGCCATTTTTTTCTGATTAGGTGACTCCTAGCAGTGATAAGGTACTCCTAGGATTTACTGTATCAATTTCTAATTATTCCAGCATATTCAAATAATAAATTCTGTACAATTGGAAACAATGTCAAAGGAGTAAAACTTATGTGCTAATTTTGCCATTCCACTGACCTCATACTCTTTCAAATTCTGTACAGTAAACTTGAAAAATTTGTTTGTTAACATATTAATAATTTTTGACAAAAAACATGTACAGTATGTGCCACATCTCAATATATTTTTACCAGATTACCAAATAGGAAGTTAGCTTTAATAAAACAAATATGCAAATATCTTCATTCTTGTCAGTGTAAACTTAAATAATGGAAATTACATGACCAAATTACTGAAATCAGAGGAAATTTGAGACCAAATAGCCACTGACTAACTTTATCTAAGTTAAAATGCAAAATTTCCAAACCAAAGATACAGCAAGGTTCTTGGTTGTAATAAATGTGTTCAGAAAGAAAAACAAAAGCCTAGCAAGGCTGGGTTCTAAGGAACCTCACAACAGACAGGCCCTTGTCTAGTATGGGACTTTTTCACTAAATCTACTAAAAAACTTTACAAAGGGTGTATTGCAATAAAATAAAGACAGTGTATTAACTGTGAATAGCCCCACAGTTATTTAGCATGCATCTCTGTGTTAAGCTAGTACTCAAGTTAAAAATGTATTGCAATGAACATGGCAGCTTAATGTAGTATTGAGGTGTGTGGTAGAATATGCAGGGTAAATTGGGTAAGAATTTTCACAATTGTAAGAATCTAAAATAACTGCTTCTGCACTGTAGATGATTCTGGAGCACCTTTATATTGATAAAGGAGATTTAGTTTTACTATATTAACAAATAAACACATACCCCATTATCCAAACCTAATTCGTTACTGAAAAATTTGTTTGGAAGGCGGGAGATCGTAAATCGTAAATAAAAATTCCATTATTTCTTATAGGGAAAATTCCATCCTGTTTCGACCTGAAGACAAGTTCACTCAAAAATCATTCTAAACGTATAACACCATACAGGCCATAACAGAAAGCTTAGTGAACTATGCCGTTCTACTCAAATAAACTATCTATAGCGGTAAAATAATGAATGTCATATTTACATTTTTTATTCTTTCGTAATAGATCGCTTTCCAAGCATACGATGTGCGAACGTTGTCGACTATTATGCTAAAATTGACAAGAAAAATAAAAAGACCTAGTCAGAATTAAATAAAAATACGTGAGACAAGCAAACAAACAAACAAACAACTCACTTGCTTGTAGAAGAAAAGGTTGTTGCATGAGGAGGAGATGGTGGTTAGTTATCGGAATGCAATAGTGAAAAGGACAAATCGGAGTGAAAGGGAAATTCGCAGTAGACTGTGTCCATTTCTTCGGCCTCTTCAATTTCTTTGCGGATAGCCTTCTTTTGAGAAACACTGCCTATAGCTCCTTATAGAGTGCATCTATGGTCATGGTTACTCTGGAACCTTGCTTGTGACATTGACCTCTCATTAAGGTGAAAGAGAAAATGGCCTATTAGCTCCTCTAAGAGGGCAGAGAAGCTCACCGTTTTTCTGGAGCACTTATAGAAATCAGTTGATGGTCTTTCAAAAATATTCTTGTCAGTGAAAAGCTACATGTCATCTTAGCTACTGATGGTCAGTGCCTGCTGCTATTCTTTTATGATAAAATGTTGTTTTATATGCGGACAAACACAAGTGAAGTGGTCCATTGTTTTCTTTAGAATGCTTCTTATATAAAGCTTTGTGCCGTGAAGCAACAATTTCCATATTCCATTTGCCTATCAATGTTAGAAATGGTAGAAATGTTGTAATATCTTAGACCAGACGTTACCCCTCTTAAAATACTTAAATGTGTTCATAAATTGTTCTTGAAAGTCAGAGTCAGTCTTTTTAGATCTGAAATTATTTTGACTGAACAAAAATTCCATTAAAGACTATTCTAAATCTATGGAAATGTTATAAAAGGATTAAGCTGTAATTCAGCAAATATGCACCATTGTCACAAATGGAGTTTAATCCAATAAACCCTAAGTAATTATTTTGCTGATTTGTTTATCTTCCAGGGCTGAGATTTCTGGCAAATAAATTATTTATACACTTAACTGTCTCTGTAGGCATTACAACCAAGCATATTAAATACATTTACTTTTGTGTAACACAGAAAACGCACAATGAATCAAGACTTCTTGTTGTCCCCACACCCGTTCTACTTCTGTACACGAGCCACAATTGTCCAGAGGTTAGCCTGGTTTCCATAGCATTTAGTGAACAGAGAGAAAATGAATGGGTGACCAGTTTATCACAGAGCCTACCACACCAACAGACAATGTTTGGTCTTGTCACAGAGCCTACCACACCAACAGACAATATTTTGTCCAGTCACAGAGACTCACACTAACAAATAATGTTTGCTCCAGTCCAAACAACTGTGTCAATCACGGTGAAAAACTTTAAACAAAGTACAATAGCAGTGTCTGCTATCAAATCCACCAGTTATAAGCCCAGAGACTTAACCACAATGCTATGCTTTCCCTTCTGTAAATATAACAAATTGCAATATGGCCTAATACAGACTGTCTTATTAATTTAAAAAAGGACCATTAACATATCACAGCCTGACATTGATGCAAACACAGCTTTTCTATATAACCTTTTTTAAAATGTCTGTACTGCTCTAAAGTCTTAATCATACTGATGAATTTTGATGATTATACTGTAATCATCAAAATAACCCTGTGACTATAAATGACACTTATTGTGTAAGAAACAAAGGAAAAATATGATTGCAAAACATTATCTGTATCATAGTTCATATACTCGCCTTGCAGCTAATCAAAGTCATTAATGACAAATTTCTGTGACAAAGAGACCAGTGAGCTGCACGAAGAGTAAAACATTAGAAATGTTATTTTATACAGAAGAAACAACTTTGAAATTCAGGCTACATAGATGCCAGTGAGAAATGATTATATATCAAGTACAAAAAGTAGCATAACAGCCAGTCAACAAAGGTCCATTATCATACTTATCATACAGAAGCAGAGGTAAATTGTGCATTTTAATGGAGACAGTGCAGAGATATATGGAGAGTGGGGACAGCTCAACCAGCACAAATGGTTGAAGCTGTATTTCAGTGAGTTTTTTGTCATTTAAAAAGAAAATATTATGTCTGACAAAGAGAGAACACCATGTAAAATAAAATTACTACTTTGCTAAGAAGACATAAATGTTTTCCTGAAAAGTTTATATAGATGCATTTAAAGCAGAAAGGGTACAAATGAAAAGAACTGTATTCTTTTGTGCATTTGTGCTTCATCTGCTTTTAATGTGCAAAGCTACAACTGCTTAAAGGTACATAAGCAATTAGCTTTAAGATTTCAAAATACTTTGGAGCAGTAGAAGACTTGCATAATACTAATTGATCCAAGTGTAACAAAAAATGAGAGGTGCCCTTAATTACATCATGCTTCTTGTTCTTCAAAGTGAGATACCCCCTTATGCTTTGAATTACAAAAAGTTAATTATGTATTTTGTGTATTCTATTCAATCTATGCACTTAGTGGCCTTGATTTAAAGGAATCTCTTAATTTTGTAAGATTAACGATATTTGGTGTTTTTGTAATTTGAATACATAGAGTGACAGGTATGTCAAAACTATCTTTTGGAATCATTCATATACATCATCTAATGTATATGAGTTGAATTATTTAGATTTATAACAAAACATAATTTAGGCGGAGCAGTGGCTCTGTGGCTAAGGATCTGCACCTGTGGCTAGAAGGTTGCTGGTTCAAATCTCGCAGCCAGCAGAGGAATCCTACTCCGTTGGGCTCCTGAGCAAGGCTCTTAACCCCAACTGCTCCAGGGGCGCCGTACAATGGCAGACCCTGCGGTCTGACCCCAGGCTCTCTCCCTATCTGTGTGTCTCATGGAGAACAAGCTGGGGTATGCGAAAAGATCATTTTAATGCAAGAAATTGTAAAGGTTTAATAAAGTGATGTTATTATTATTATTAATTTACACAAGGTGGGGTTAACTCTCTGTCTGAAAGGATAAAAATGTACTCATATCTTTTTCAGTGTAGAGCTAAACTCTGTTTGTTCTTTACCTAGGTTCCTTTAGTCCCTTTAGTGCCATTTTTCTGATGTTCTAAACGTTTAAATTAAATTAAATTTAGTTTTTTTATTCCATACAGTACATCTTAGCAGGAACACCATGGTATTAGGCTAACACTTTAATACAAACCAAGGTGGTTTCAGTGAAATAAGTGGTCAAAGTGAACATTACACTGAGCAAGCTGTGTTCGATGCATACTGTAGCTCTGAAGCACACTTTAATAAGGCGCTACATTACCAAACAACAGAACTGGATCGTGCAGATTTCATCTCTTCAGGAGAGAGGATGCAGTAAGTAATCATTCAACTAAAAACACTCTCTTCCCAGATAGTCCAGTTACACGGCAAGAGAAACTAAACAATGGCATAGTGTTAATGTAGTACAATCATTACTTCATCTTTATTCACAAAAACTCATAAATGCAGGAAAGAAATTCCAAACTGATGGCAGACTAGTATTTCAAAAGGGATAATGAGGATAGCAGTATCTACTGAATGTGATACCATGTTCACAAAAGAACAATGCAATTCTGCAATTTCCCTCACGGGATCAATAAAGTATCTATCTATCTAATGCTCATGACAAGGCAGGGAAGTACGCACATTACATACACCTGCACCCCCTATCCATAAATTAATTAATGTTTGTAATTATGATCTTGGTATCTATAATTCCTTTTTGTTTTAATATGCAGTGAAATTTGAATGCAATTCAGTTAGTGTTTAACTATATTTCAACAATGGACATTACTTTCCTAATTTGATTTTCTCTTCATGAAGTCACTATCCAGGGGGCATAGTTTTTTTCTGCAATGCAGAGAGACCTCATTTTGCTTCCTGTTTTGAGCCCAGCAGGAAGTTCCAAAATTGTTTTTTTCAAAGCTAGACACAAAGAATATTTTTTGGTGCGCTTTATTAAAAGTGATGTCTGAGTCCCACTTTTGACATTAACATTTTTGGTAAGCAAATATGTATGGTGTGCTAAATGTGATTCCCCTTATTTAAAACCTTGACAATAAATCAATAATGAATTCCTGCATTTTTTACAAACATATTTAATGTTTGACCTTACTTTAGTGATATCTACAGAAGAGAAAATACTTCTAGAAATGCCAATAATGCCCCAGAGTCTCACAATCTGTGTTCAGCTTAGAAGCATAACCAAGCTAAACAGCTGACGCTAATGAAAAATGATGGCAGACGCTACCTGGTCTTTGTTAGTTTCTTCTGTAATCACAGAATCCGGGGGTCTGTTTGGTGGTCTAACTGTACCCTGCAGAAAAACACAAATACTATGATTCACAATAAAGAACTGGAGGAAAAAATAAGTTAGAGCCAAGAAAGAAAAAGACTGAACATGCTCAAAATCACAACAGATCTACACTGTACCAATGGACTAATGCTACATTAAAACATTACTTTAAAAGTAACATTTTTCTGTACACAGTTTTGATTAAAAATGCAGGTATGATAGCTATAGCTTGCATTTTTTATATCGTTTTTAACCAAACAGAACAAAAGCATAGCACTGTGGCTTTTCTGTAGGAACATGACATATGAGAAGCCAGGCATTTCTCCTAGGGGACAAACAACTTTATTACTTCAATACAAATATTCAGCACGATGGAAAGAGTTTCACTTGTATCCGCAAAAAAAAAACAGGCCTTTGCTTTAAAAACCCTCAGAGGCAAATTGAAATACTTGTCCTTTTGTACATACACAAATGCTTTCAGTATTCCAACTACATACAGTTTGATGTAAAGTATCTCGATCAATGTCAAACATTATCCAGCTTTGATCTCAGCTTTATCACTGAAATCCCATCAAAAACAGATCCAGTGTAATTAAAGCAGATGTCCACAGAAGACAAATTGAATGCACATTATGAACATGTTTTTGTAAGTGTTTTCTGGCAGTGGTCAAATTAAAATACTTAAATTAGATAATGTTGATTAAATGAGACTAAGTGATTTATTAATTTGTAGTGTACATCAAATATAAATTATATTAAATTGCACATCTGAAGACCTTCAGTTTATACAGAACGAATTACAGTACATAGAAAAAAATATGTGGAGAGAAAGTGATTTGGAGACTGTAATTTCAAATCTCATTTTAAAAACAATGGACAAGAGAACTGTGCTATCTATTAATTAAATAATAAAATGAAATGTTTGTACAGAGTAAAAAGCCTTAGAGGCATCGTAGAACATTGTCAGATCCCACAAGTTATACTGCAATGAATTCTGCAGCAGTACATTTAGGGAAAAAACATGTATAATTGTTAGATTTCTGTATAGTTTCCTTTTTATTACTTCTGTGACTTAGCAAAGGAATTAGCTAAGTTTCCTCTGTAGCAGACAAGAATATTAAATTCTTTTTTATCCACGTTTGACATGTAACGGTAACTGAATTAATTTAAATGGTTCACTTCCAAAGTCAAAGGTATATTCACAGCACATAGAAGCAAGGAAACATCTTGAGCAGGACAGTAGCATTTTGATGTAAAATCTATCCATTTGTACAGTAGCTAAGTTATGTTTACTTGTTTATTATTATTTTACATTATTAACTAATATAGCATGTAGTTTGACAAGTCCCATTTTAAATCAAAGAGAATGTTGGCTAAAACATACTGCTACCTAAGTGGTCATCCTCATTGAACGTGGATCGAAAAAAATGAAGCCTCATTGCAGCATAAAGCCAAGTATCAGAAAAAAAGTCTCTACACAAATTAGGAGGTAAATGTGCTTGCGTTAAATGTAACGTATCTTTAAAATTAGCGAATTCCTTTTCCAAAAGTAATTTTGGTTGAAACAAAGCTTCATTTTTAGTGAGGCAAATTCCATTTCCAAAATAAAATCACCAAAAGAACATACAGTATAGTACTGAACAATGGTTTGGCTATTCCATTGAAAACGATAATATTCTTTAAAATACTGTATAATTTTAGCAATCGAGCATGTGATGCATGTTTGTACGTGCTTTTCTCTTCTAACTGATTCTCACACGTTAATCATGGTCATGAAGCATGACTGTATTTTCTGTATTTTATACCAAAAGTCTTGTAAAACAATCCACAAAGAGTTTGAGGAAAGGACTCATTAATTTATTATTCAAAAATTCAAATGTGGTATGGTCAAATGCATATAACAAGTTTGTATTGGTTCATATTTAATTCCAACGTGGTTATATAAATAATAAATAATCCAAACTTTTGCAGAGTAACATATTTGCCTTGAGAAACTGTCTCATATGTTTTTTTTTTTGTTTCATCTACCTATCTTGGATGTAGCACTAGAGAAATAAATTAAAAGAAGCAAAAATGTGTTTGCTCTAGAGCCATCCTATCATGAATTACTCTATGAATTTCACCTAGGAACAATGTACATAAATACTGTACATGTAAATATTAACTAAATAGAATGCTTGTAATCAGTACAGACTTTTTTATTGAAACAAAAACAAAAATTAACCTTGACTAGAAAAATTGCTTCTGAGCATTCAAATTAAAAATGTTCTGCTTGATATACTGTATATCTTTGTATAAACAAATGTAACTATGAAATATTGTCCAAGTAGTCAGCAGCAATTAAAGCAGCCTTTTTCAGCCTTTTTTTTGTTAGCTCATGCCAGCCTTAAGCTATAAACCTACAGAGGCACACCTCCTACCTTTCCAAAAAATCCTATATGCTTGAGCTACTGAACAGGGACACCTCATGTTGAAATTATAGTTTCTTATTACTGGTATAAGAATTGTGGTGCATGTACATTCTTGCCTCTAGTTTTGATCCACCACTGCCATCTTACAACATTATATGCATCTGAAACGCTACATAAAATCTCTGTTTGGCATGCGATGAAATATATTACTGTGCTTATGACCTCAAATAGTCATACTGCATGACAAACTGTGCAAATATCCTTTTCCTTTCAACTAGCATGAGCTTAAAAATGTTTGATGTCAAACACTGTACTAATACTTTTTAATGTTTAATACTTTAAAAGAAAGTAAACATACCAGAAAATAAATTCACAGAAATAGGAGTAAAAAATAGGAGCACTGAGAAAACATGGCAGCGAGCATGAAATCAGAAAGCAAGAATCATTTTGTGGACAGTTTTGAAAAAGATCTTTAACAATATAATTCATGTATTCAGAATAATCTATAGGCTACAGAAGTATGTCACTTCTAGATTCTGGACCCAGGGATAATTCAGTATTTAGAGTATACTGGTTTAAAATTCTGGAAGGGGGAAATCTTTACACCTCGCACTGCATACATATGAAGAACAATGTTGTATTGTAAAGCCTTATAAGCATGTCTCGGGAATCCCACTTACAGTAAAAAAGCACTCTTTAATTGCAAGTTGAGTCTTACTTAATGTCCAATACAAATTCAATTATATTGCTTTTTTCCCACTTAGTATCTAACATCATTATCTCAATGAGCAGCAATTACTAATTACTGATATCATATACAGTACTATTTTATTATAATGTAATTTATCATTTGTTAGGGTTTGAGACAGTATCCTCTGTATTTATTATTTCAATGGCAATAATGAAAATAACTCTGTCCTACACTACAATACTCTATTTGTATAGGGGTTTGCATCTGTAAAGGACTGCTATAAACAAAAGTATACTGCAATGACTGGGGATACACTTTGGTTAGCTGTTACACTAAAATGTTCAGCTTTTTTTCATGGGTTTATGTGTCAAAGCTCTTGCAGTTAAGATACAATGCCTCCATATTTTCTTACTGCCTGTTTTTTTTCCCCCCAAAAGCCATTAAGATAAGAAATTTGATCATTAAGGTCAAAGGTCAAGAAGGCATGAATGGAGAAAATGTAATGTTCTATGGTCCTTCTCAGGCTTTCAATCAGACAGTACAACTTAGAGAGATGAGCAAGTGAATTAGTGCTTTAGAAAAGCAGGGTGCATTCAAAGGAGGACACCAAAGGATGGGATGAAAAAATCATTGAGAGACCAGATAAGTACTAATTAGTCACACAGGATGATATGACTCCTTCGGGGAAATATTGCCCATGTAATACAGCCTCTGCTCATTCAGGAGGGATTAATGTTTTACTGAGTGAATGAAGACAGCATGTAATCGTGGTATGACTCACTCTGCAGGAGGCAGAAATTGGGCAAGTGATATAGTACCTGTCAATGGCTGCATCTGCTAATACTGCTATTGCCATGAGGAAGCATCTCATTAAAACACTTTGCCATCCAGTTTCATTTTCTTGCTGATAAATGCACTACAAATGGGTTAATAGGGCTATTGTCATAAAAAGAGAAGTGTTATCATGTTATTTAAATATTTAAAGCTTATGTCTGCTATTAATAATCATATTTGATTGATGCCATTTGTGCTGCATTATACTGAGAGCATTTCAAGCCAGCAGAAAAAGCAGGATCATTCGGTCAAAGCCTGCAGCCCAAGCACAGAATAAAACCCATAGCCTAGAGGTTACTGCTATGAATTCAAGTCATGGCAGTGATCAGGAGATCCCTGTAGCAGTAATTGGCCAACTGTGATCAGGTCTGTGTAATATGGAAACACTGACAGATATCTGGCTTACTGTTCCTGGCCAACATCCTGCAGGACTTAAAGTTATAAGTAAAGAGCAGTGCCTCTCCTCAGGACAATAAAAATGGTGTATTGCTCATATTTTAACATCACAGTGTACAAAAAAAAGAGAGTCACAGCTTTTCATGTTTTTTGCAATGTAAAAAACATGAAAATGTAAATGACATTATATCCTTAGAGGCAAAAAATACACATCAAAAGAGTGCTGGAGCCAAGTTATTTGCTTTTTTTCTCATGCATGTATGTACAGTACTAATAATTCAAATCTGAATACCTTTTTTTATACATATACTTTGTGAAAATTATACTCCATTACCAATTTTCCAATTTTTTTCAACACAAGAGTCCCAGCGAAAAAAACAAACAAACAAACAAACAAACAAACAAACAAACAAACAAACAAACAAACAAACAAACAAACAAACAAACAAACGGTGTGGATATTAATCTCAATCCCAAGTGTGAGAAACAAAGAACAAGCTATAGACTGCAATCTAGAGGCTGACTGAATAGTAAAAGATTCCCACAGACAAAAAGAGAGTGTAAGACCTCGATTATACTGTGCGTGTCAAAGTAACTAAGTTTTAGGATCCACTAAGCACAATCAGAGATGCATTCACTGTTCTGTTGAGGGATCTCTCTTTTCCATAAGGTCATAATTTGTGGCTGACATATTAAGATATGTCAGATATATGCAAATCATGGAAGCAAAATTAGTAAAAACAATTTTGGTAGACAGGTCCAAAGATCTTCTGATAATTCAATAATAATATGCATTTATAGATGCATTAGTACAGGAATAGCAATCTCTTCAGTTATTCATGATAATTTTGTAAAGAGTAACTACGAACCCCAGTACTTAACGAAAACTAAAAAAATGTTGTACGAGAATTAAGTAGAAGGTAATTAACTTAAAAAACATAACTGGTCGGTCCTTGTTTGATCTTATATTTATAAGTTTTAAACTTTTTCCTGCATTTGGTTTTATAAGAAATAAGATCTGAGGTCATCTTTCAAAGTCTTTGGATGCAGGAATATAAGTATCCCAAGGCAGGATATGTCACTGTGAAAATGATTCAAGCAAATAAACAAATTCTTTATTACAGTGCTATAAAAAATAGTATTGACTCAGAACTCAATGTGCTTTGTCCTCTGGGTGTAGCCAATAAGCCTGGTGTCACACAAAATGAGTAATAATAAGGTCTAATAAAATTAGACATAAAAAACACTGTGTGGGCAACAAACAAATAACCAATAGCTTGCACAGAAATAACAAAATACAGGAGGAAAAAAATGTACATCACCTTCTCCCACTTGCTGGATTAGACCTTTGTCATATAAAAAACTCAAAACTACACTGTAGGTTTTTAAAATATTAAAAATAAATATAAAAAAAACAACAATCTTTATATTAGCAACCATGTTTTCATATGCTGAATTTTTTGTGGCCTTTAAACCTGAAATAACTTTTTACTACAATAAGCAATATTTACTTTTTTTCAGAAAAAGATTAGCTGTAGGTACAGTACAGTAAGTACAGCGATATAGATTTAAGGATAGCACATTATGTGTGAACAGAAGTTTAATTTGAATGTTAATCTGTTTTATTTTAGTGTAATTCCATACATACTTTGATTATCTTAGAATAAAATACAGGAGGAAAAAAATGTACACCAGCGTTTTGGGAAGCCATCTTTAAAGGCTCAACAGGGACTCGGCCTCTTGAGCCAAAGGGAAATCTCCCTTCAGCCCAGCAGCTGTGGGCCCTGCTGTGGGCCCTGCTATAGGGCGGTGACGTCGCTGCTCTGGTAAGCCAGCTCAGCTCTCGCAAGCAATGGAGGCTGTATGCGTTACACTCTCCCCCCCTTAACTCGCCATCCTCGGCGAAGGGCTATCCCACCCCGCCTCTGACACCAATGTAACGCCACGGGGTTCACGTGGGCGCCCTCGCCGCCGCCACATCAGGTTGTCCCCCCACCGTCGGGGACCCGAACCCGGGCCTCAGGCTTCACTCAAGAGGCTGGGTCCCTGTTGCACGGGCAAAATACATGCTTTTACACCAGCCACACTTACATTGTTCTTGTGGGGACAAAATTCTCTATTATATAACATTTTGCCAAAATGTCATTACTTTCTTGTTCCCAACCCTGGAATTATACAATTTGTTATTATATAGCAATCAAATATGCTCTGTGGTACCTTGACTTTCTCCGAAGTCCTCTTCCCTCCAAAGCCTCCTGCTCCCACAACGAACATGGAGAACTGATTGTAGCACACAAGCTCTTGACCATTGTATGTGTGGACTGAAAATATAGATTGAATCATCAGTGAGAGTGCAAGTTACATCACCACATTACACAAAGATAAGAAAAAGCTTCTGATGTACAAACTGAATAGCCTCTCATTTTTAACAATTTGTCCCAGCTATTTACATGCTTCTGTAAAGTTTATACAAAGCAACAATTTTGCTTGACAAAAATGAAAGCTAACAGACAACATAAGTATATATTATATATACGTATATGACTTATGGCTTGCTATTAGTTATTTTGTGGAAAAAAAACTAGACTTGAATTTATGTCAACAGTTTGCTGACCTACTGAGGAACTGCTTTCTTGGAGAAACGTTCACACATTTGTTTTCCTTTATCATTTACTACTGTTCTCCAAGCCATTAATCTCAATATATACAGTAACAAAATAAAAGAGATGCTGTAATCCCCTAGGGTCTCTAATAATAAAATTATTAAGTACAATATAATACAGGTACAAGAAAAATCTAAAAACCTGAACAGTTTAACCCAACTCAATCTTTTCTGAAAGTCCTCACATGTCTTTTTGAGCGAACATTGCTGGAGAATGAAAGAGAATCTGCTTCTTTCCATTGCATAAATCTATGCCGTACATTTATTGAAAAACCTCTATCTTAGAAAAATCTGCCAAGGCCACCAGGACTGGCTTTGAAGATATAAGACATATGAAAAGCATACCCCAAAAGATCAAATTTTAATGGTCCTAATATTTAAATCACTTTTATCTAAAATTATATAATTTATACTTTACTGTAGCTGTTCTGTTATTAGCTTTAGGATTGCCTTGAGGACATTTTAAATAAAAAGCTAATAGTTAAGTCTCAAAGAAAGCATCAAAAATGTAATGAAGTGAAAAAAATGTTACATTTAAGTAAAAGCAGAATAGTGAAAATGAAAAGAATATTTTTGGAAGAAAAGAAAAAATAGAAGTGGTTCCACATAAGGCTTCTGCAACTGGTGAAAAAGAATTGATAAAACCCTAAAGGTAATCAGGGTCTCTAGCATTAACTGTCACAGCATGTTTCCTGCCATGGAGAGGACAATTTATAAATTTCCTGAGAGCAGATTTAAACCTTCATATTTCACCAATATTAGGTTATTGATATAAATGTTCAAAATGTAATTTCAGTCCATTTCTTAATTTATTATATACTGTGACTGAATCTCCTATTTTGCAAACTTAATTTCAGGATACTCCTCAAATTAGGTAATATGACCCCAGATTGTAAAGAGACAGCTATTTTGCAAGTTTTTAACTTGAAATACATATACATTACATAACAGTAAATTAAATTAATAGTAAACTCTACAGTATCAGATACTGAATTTATCATTATGCACTAACTCTTATTAACCATACGCTGATCATCAGAAAAAATATTTAAACAATGATTATCCTAACAAATGTTGACAATCTCACTTTCTTGGGTGCTGATGAAAACAGACTATTGTCTTTTCATTTAACCCAAATCTGTTCTGCGTTCTTCTGTCATAGGATGTTATTCATGCCAAAAGGGTAATCAATTTTTGTCAACATTTTGAAAAGCAAGTCACAAAACGTGCAGGAATGAAACTTGAGTTGACAGCTGGAACCACAACATCCATTTAGAAGCTATGGACATAGTTTTGAAATTTTCGTCTAATCTGACTATCAATAATTTGCTAGGTTTATAAAAGATACATTTGAGATGACTATTTTTGTAATCAAAGTATCTTGCTTCAGGCTGTAAAAATGATGTTGATTAAATTGGTCTATTGGAAACAAACAGAATTAACAAAGCCTAATGCAACAATAAACCCTTTGGATTCTTTTTAAATGCTTAAGCATTTCCTAATGATCACACTCTATCCATGTAAATTTTGCAAACAATATAAATGATAGCTAACAAGATCTAAGCCCCAGGAGTGAGGCTAGAACATCCCTAGAACATGTTCTAGCCTCCCTGAATTGGCTCCCAGTGCTACATTAGATTGAATTTAAGATCCTTTTTTGACCTAAAAAGCACTAAACACTCAAGTCTCTTTCCTACCTCAAATACTGAACTACTACTCTTCATCTTGACCACTCCACTCTTTACATTTTACCTTGCTGTGTATCCTCATGACAAGATGCTCAGGGCATTCTACCAAAATTCACATGTGGATAGCTCCAAAACTATAGGAGCATTTAACTGAACAAGATTTTATAAAAGAAAATGTATTGGATGTTTATATTCAATGCTACAAGTTAATTTTTTCTTCAGGTTGGAATGTATTAAAGGGGATCTTTTAATAGTGAGGACAAAACTAAAACAACGTGGCGTCATCAGTTAGAAATCGAAATACATTACAGTAAATCAGATAATTTGAGGACTGGATCTTAAATTCTGAAAAAAAAAAGCTCACCATCCAAGATTATGAGCGCTCCAGACCCCTTATCCAAGACATCAACAACTGTAGCTTGAGAAGTCAGTTTTCCTGTATTTGCATATAAGCATTAGTAAATAACTGTTTGAAACAAATAAACAGTTGTAAGTCAGTAAGCAGTTGTCTTGCCAACAGAAGTAAACAAGACAAGTAAACATTAAAAGTACTCATATATTAAAAACATCTTCTGATAATAATCACCAGCAAATACATATTCCTAGAATTAAATGTGCCAAATGGCCTGCTATCCTTTATATATTTTGTCATGATTCTAAATAATAATAAATAGCACATATTATCTAATTCAAAAGAGATTATCTAGTATCAAAATTAATTTAAAAATGCTCCGTTTCCAGAATCATTACTGGCAAATACAAAAAAACAAATGCAGAAGCCATTTAGTAAGAGCATCACATGCGGACAAATAATGTATTTTAAAAGTGTAGCAAATAAAATTTATTAAAAAAACAGCATCAAATGAGATGTAAATACAGAGTGAAATTCTATTTTGCTTTTCCTTTTTTAAAGATCTTTTTTTAAAGAACTTTACAAAAAATACTCCTGAGATAAGAATATTTCAGATAGGTTTTGACGATTCATACCCGAGGTTGGCAATGACGTAAACAACTCCAGATACTGTTCTCCATGTAAAAGCTGATAGAAGAAAAAAACACAGGAAGAATACTTAAAGGACAGAAATGCTATTCTGTTTTCATATGTATCCTATCTTCATATGACTTTACATTTCAAAGGAACATTCAATACAAATACCTTTACAAATTCACGATGAATTACAAATAACAGTTTCATAACAAGTCATATGACATTTCACAATTGAATAAACCTATAGAAAAATGTTATAATAAATAAAGCCCTGAGAACTAAGTAAAGGATGTTACACTGGATAATGAAAAAGGAATACATTACATACAAGTTACTACTTTTGAACTAATGCTATTTAGCATATTCAGTAGGAAATGGTCTATTCACCCAATATGATAGAAATGGAACAACTGAAAATGTTTGATCTAATGTTTGCATTGGCAGCTGTGTTTTACACGTGTTTTAAAAAGCATTGATGTGATGTGTCGTTATAATTAGTTAAGATGTGTCACTTTTTTCTTTTTCTGGACCATAGTCCAAGTAACTCTGGCAGAAGAAGAATGGCTTGATGGCGCATGTCTGTAATGTGTGCATGCTGTCTTTATCCCTCATGTTAATATAAAGACAACAGCACAACCCATATGGATTAACAGCTGAGCATCCTAAATATCAGGTGCAAAACTGCTGATGATGAAAAAATACTCCATTGTTGACTAGGAATTTGTAAATTCCTTAACATTTTTTTTCATATTCGTGGTACACGTGCTCACATGGTACATGTGGTACATGGTATTTTCTCCAAAGTTGGAATTCATCTTTAAGAACCACATTAAGAACTCAAAGAAGGCGATAATAGTATATCTTAGTCAGAACAGAAAACTACGTTTAAGTGTAGAAGTGTTTTTACCTAGACCTAGAACAGATGACACGTCATTGCACAAAGAGTTGTGGGGTTGTGGAACAAGCTAACCAATTATGTTACTCGAACCCTTTTAAGAAATTTTAAGAAATGACTGAACAAATTAGCTGCTAACTACCAAACAGCCTACCTTTCATATGTTGAATACAAAATGTCTACCTATGATACACAAACAAGTGGTCCTTTTTTTATATAAAAGTAAACAATAAACACTGAATTGAATTTATTATTTCTGCAATATCAAGCAATCTAAAAAAACACTGCAGATGTATTATGTAATTACTATTTATTGCATTTAGCTGTACAAATTAAATTCAAAAGCTGCTGTCTTGAAAAGACTTTCTTTTTGTTCACTCTTTGAAGCACAGACGTGGAAGTGCCGAGGGACAAAATTCAAAGAGTTATTTACCTAAACCGTAATCTTTCAAAGCAGAAAAGAAGTGGAATAACAATGAAGTGGGATTTTAAAGCAATTATTTTAATAAAATAATTTAAGTGTCGAAAAGATGTGCCACCTCGCATTCACAAGCATCAAATATTAAAATGTATTTATTTCAAAATACTACTTAGTTCACTCAAATGACTTAAAATGACCAATTGCATTTGTCAATTGTAAAAAGTCAGTACAAAAGTATTTGTTTTGTTTTTAAGCTCATTATGTTCCTCCTACAACTTGCATTTTCTCTGCAGAAGGAGAGGTTTTTTTTGTTTCTTCTACATATTGAGACACATTTTATTTATTTATTTTACAAAGATATAATATTTTTTCTTACCTTTGTGTAGTCAAAATTTAATCCTGGAATAGAACTAAGGCTACCATCCATCATGGAGGGCTGTGATGCTATTACTCCAAAGGTAGGAAGACAACTGAAATCCTCATGGCCTTCATACAAAAACTTCAGATAATCTGGATCTTTGGTTGACATACCAACTCCAAGAGCATAAAGAATACACTGGGTGTGAGAGTAGGTGAAGCCAACTTCGGTCAACTTCTGACCAATCGCCATAAGCTGAAGATGAAAAACATTTTCAAACTATTGTATTGGATTCACATCTTCATTATGTGTTGGAACAAAATGTATTGTCATTCTGTCAGGGCAAGAGGATGAAACAGAAAGCTTAAAAGTATGAAAAATACAAAGTGATAAAAATGACCTTTTGAAATATTGCCCCCCAAGGAAAAATGACACCTTTTGGCTTTATAAAATTGCTTTATCTAGAAAATCTTGCTTTTTTTTCTTTCTTAAAACCATCACTCTTTAAGACATATATCCACAGAAAACACATTTTCCTCAGGGAAATTCAGACAGCCTAGATATTTCTACTGAATCCTTAAAATAGAAATGAATATGAATTCATATTATTGCTCCTGGGCAGAACCTGAGTGTTACACAATACAAACTCAACAAAATTATATATAGCCGCCAAAGATAACTACTACTTGAGTTATAAAGTTGAGGCTACTTGCTACACAAAGCAAAACTCTGCAAAATCAGACGTCATAAGAAAAAAAACTACATACAGTATCTCTTTGCTGGTTCACCTATATACACATGCATATTCATTTACTGTCCCTGTGCTATTGTGTGGCATAGAAGGTTAGCATGCTGGCATGCTAAAAAAGAAATGCCACTCCTCCTCCTCCTCACTCTTGACCTCCCGTCGGCATGGAACAGGTTGAAGAGTGACTCATCCATGAAGAGAACCTGATGCCACTGCTGACGAGTCCGTTCTAGCCTCTGCCTGGCCCAAGCCAGTTGGGTGTGACGTCTAGGAGGTGTGAGCAGAGGGCCTCTGACAGGTCCCCTTCTTCTAAGGGCAGCAGCATGGAGCTTCAGTGTCCTGTCACTGATGCAGACATTGTGTCTGCTGGCATTTTCAGCAGAAACGATCTCTCAGATGGACCAATGTGATGTGTCGATCCTACTGTGGTGTGGTCACTCGAGGGTGACTGAGTCTTGGATGGTCATCTGTCCTGCTGGTCTGCTTTTTCTTGCAGTGACCTAAGCTTTGAATTAAGGCCTTTTTAAAGGTGACCTGATCAGGCATTGTTCCACCTGGACCTAGTTGGGTAAAAGTACTCCTAACAGGCTTGTGATTGGGGAGTTGCAATGCCTCACTGTACAAGCTGTATTGCTAGTCAGAGGGCTTAAAACAAATTGACAACTTTTTGTGAAAGTACATAAGGTATAACTATAGTATTCTCATTCCAGAAAATGTTGCATTTCTTTTTTCAATCAGTATACATCTATTTCAAAAAGCATGACTAAGAAGTGTGATGGACTTTGGCCCTTTATTAACAATTTAAAAGAAGTTGTCATGTATGCCTTTTAGACATGTCCGGTCTAGTTCTTACTCATTAGCAACACTTTCAAACCTTCATAAAAACATTAAAACCCAAACATGGTCACAAAGTACCCATAGGTTCATTAATTTTAACTGTAAAAAACACTGCTACTTGTATGCTACTTTTTGAGGTCCTATAAAGACAGACATGAAGCTATTTCCTTGACAGACAGATTTATAATGTTGTCTTTGTACAGTACTCACTGGATTAATTCCTGAAGAATTAGTGGATATACCATTGGAAGGATTTTGTGATATTCCTGCTCCAGCATCAATTTTTGACAGCGTCTCAATCAGAGTACTTAATGATTCTGTAAAACATAAATGTGTTTTTGCAACATTAAAAGACTAAAAGCAACAAAAGAGAAATTAGAGTAATTTAGGAAAGATTATAGAAATAGATAAATATCACCAACTCTCAAACCAGCTAAGCAGCAGCACAATTTTATTTTTTTACTATATTTCAAAATTTGGTGACTGTATAGCTGTGTGGAGTTCAAAGCTAAGGTTACCAACTAAGTGCATATACTGTATAAAACATTAAATGATTTTTAAAACTGTCTGCAGAAGAAAAGCCTGACCTGGTAAAAAAAAAGTCAGAGCTAAAAAAATGTTTCCTGTGATTTGACAGTTGGAGAATCAACTGTGAGTGGATGGATAAAAGATGAAAAGGACTCCAGAGAATTCAATCACAAAGGCCACTTAGCAGAGAAGATGCTTTATGAAACTAAAAATGAATGATTACTTTCCCAATTAACCTGAGAAAAATGTCTAATGAAGCAAGTATTTTTGTTTTATACTATTGTATTTGAATGAAACTAATGTTGTCCAATTATTTCAGTGCAGTACAGTTACCCATAAATTTACAGCAACATCCCATAATTGCCCATTCACATCTATAAAACTAATACAATGTGTATTTAAATGCTTATTTGGGTTACAAAATTAACTATCATGTTACCTTCTGGATATATTTTTATACATAAAAGCCAATTTACCTGGTACTCATGACAAACCAAGTGGGTGATTATATTTCACAGTAAAGCTCTTTTATGGGTCTCATTAAGTCATAGTCTTTGCAGATTTATACTGGAGCTTGTCACCCACAGTATAGTGAGAATGCGGTCTATGCCACAAAAATGTTAATTATCTTGATATTGTAATTTAAAGTTTTGGATTTACATGATTTTGTCCATCTTTTTTATTTATAAACAACCTCGCAGTGCATCACATACATTTGAAAATGCCGTACATTGCTTTATATGGAAAAGTGTTTTACAGCCCTTTTTCAGGATTACTTTGAATTTTTGCTAATTTTTAAGTTTATTTTAAAACACAGAATTAATGCCACTTTGATTCTATAAAAAATATTTTCTAATTGGTATTAGTCCCTATAAACTACATAAAACTATAAACACTATAAAGTGTAATTTAATTATAGTGTTGTGCATCATTAAACTTATTTCAACTAATTGAATCCAAAGTTGTATAAGGAATAATTCAGGAAATTATTTATGATAAATATCATGCATGTAAATTCAGTACACATCCAGGAAAGGAAAATAAAGAATCTAGACACTGTTGTAAAATAGAACTATATTCACTGAATTAAACTCAACAGTCAGACACAATGGAATACAACCCTGTCAAAAGCTGCAAATTCAACTGTGGTCCCAGCTCAACAAATCCTTTTAGTAGTCCATCTATATTCAGGCACAGTATTTAAAGGTGCAGTAATGTAAGTGAAATGATCCAAATGGGTCTAGGACAGGGGTTGACCAACACAGAAAGAAAAAACATCTTGAATTTCAGTTAGGAGTAAGAATAGAATAACTTTCAAAAAAGCATATCTTTCAGATTACAGAAACATCAATAAATCAGCAAAACCTTCCTGTAATGAAAAGCTGTGGGGGCACACTTGCTCTAGCATAGGAAACATAGCCCTCTTTACTGTGTGAAAATATAATGGTTCAGTTCCTATAAACACCTCATTTCCTCCATGAGAGTATCTGCAGTGATTCAGTGACAGAAGCTGCTGGTTGGAAAATGAAAATATTTTTATATTCCACTGACAGGCTGAGAAAGCCATAATAAAACAAACTCAACCTGCAAGCCTATTGTCTCAGAAAAGGTGACTAGCTTCTGAATTATTTAAATCCCAAAGGCGACATGTTTGGTACACTACCAACTTAAAGGTATCTCAGAGATACCACAGTACTCACGGCTGGCTGTGCTGAAGCAGTGATGAAAAGGCAGAATAACCTGAAAAGAATATTTATCAAAACGTTTGAGATGCTGAATATCTGCCCTAGTGGGACATTATCTAAATAATGCAGATTTTTTATATTGCAAAGTTACTTAATGGTCAAGCCTATACAATACAAAGAAATAATCAGACTGCTTAGAACTCATCTAGCTACGGTAATTACATTTTTTATCAGAAACTGGCGACTAATTAAGAAAATACATAAAAGCACCAGGTTTTTTTGCCTAGGGAATATGTAAATTACTGGAGATCAGGTGTAAAAGAAAAAGAAATATAGTCAAAGAAATGCATTAAATACAATGTAGAGAGTCATAAGTATAAGAAGTATAAGCCATCATAAGAAAAAAAGTGATTTTTTTTCCAAAACAAAAATTATGTTACTTTGTTTTAGGGCAAAATTCACACTATTTTCAGATGTTAAAAATGCTTTTCACAATATGGAAGTTATGCATTGATAGGACTTCTGTTTTTCTTTTTTCAAAATTAATCATATACAAAACACAGAACATGACTTTCTATGCAAATAGTAAATGAAACAACAAGAAAATACAGATAATAGGCTCTACTCCTTCAGTACTATTCATCACATCACTGTACATCACAAAGGATTTACAAATTGATCACTAGGCATTGCATAGGACTAGTGCCCCTATTGCAGGCAAACCTTATCTTCTCATTAACTCACAAGCCATGTCTTTTGACATTACAGTTTCGGAAAGAATTCAAAGTGCAATTCAAATCACTTATGAAGTCACACTCTATGGTGTTTAAACTCTTTTTAAAGAGTTTTAAGATCTTCTAGACCAGGAGTGTCAAACATACAACAAACAACAAGGCCAACTTCAGCCCATGGGGCATGTGTAGTCAGCATCTCAACTGGGATTCACCTTGTCTGAGCTTGAACAGCCCACACATCTAGCTAATCAAATTTTTATCAGAAACTGGTGAAATTACTGTAACAGTTTGCATACACTGCAGTCCCTGTGGTTCTCCACCTCTATCCAAGTGTAGTTTCATTTTGGCATGTCTTTGTGATAAAATGGTTGGGAAAATAAACCTGTACACACACTTTCTCTAAACTCCTCCACGTTTAAAAGAAACTGCAGCAGCTGAACCACCACTGGTCTCACTGACCCTGTGCCTATTGAGGTCTTTTATTATCTCAAAATAAGATTTAGCAATAAGGGCCTTTTAACTGTGTATCAAAGAACTGAAAAGAATGCTGTGCAATTCAAGAGAAGTGGAGAAATTTTATTTTTTCGCAGAAGTGAACAGAAAGCCAGAAGTGTTAATCAGTTCCCCCAGGCAGAGTTTACAGGTAATGCTGATCACTAATCCCACAATCCATTTAATCACACTTCCTTCCTCAATGTTCATAACGCAAGATTTCATATAATGAAAACGCAATTAGCACTACTTTACCTGTGAAAGCTTACAGCCTGTTCCAAATCTCTGGAAAATCACCCAACATTACTCAAACTTTACCCTAACATTACTGAACTGTCAAAATAAGAACAAGACATTTAAAAGTGTATGATAGCTCATTAGTTCAGGTGGGTAGCTGCGTCAGCATGCGTAGGCTGCAAAGGAACAAGTAATAGGTTTATTCCATGCTGAAAAAAAGAAGAGAGAAAAAACACAACGTTTCGGCCGTGGAGCCTTCATCAGGTGTGATAGCTCATTAGCCCATTTAACTACAATGCAATACCATAGTGGTACCATAATCAAATAGATAAAATGTTGTTGAGTCATACTGGGTGTGTTCTTTGAGATCTCGATTGAGAGACACGTTGCCTCAGTAACCACAGGGAGTGGTTAAGAGCAAGCCGAATACTTCCCTGAGAGATCAAGCAGAATTTAGTCCCGAGTATGCTGCAGATGTGAAGGTGTGACCATCGCGGTTCCACATGGGCTCGTGGGCTTACTTGATTACTTATCAAAGTGAAGAAAAGTTGCTATAGAGAATAAATTATTTCCCAATATGCACACTTGTGTTCTTGTGCCCTTCATATGTGCATTCTCGTTCAAGTCTGCAAGGGCTTAGGGTGTCCCATTAAGAGATTTGGAGATTAGAGATTTAAAGGGACAGCAGCCTCCGGGTTGGTGGTCGGGAGCAAGGAATATGTAAATCACTGAAGATGCAAGGCTCCTAGCAAGAGTGTCATCAGGGTAAAGCTCGTCGGGCCAGGGGAACTGCAAGGAAGGGCTCGGTAAGATGAGGCACCCCAGGCAGGACCGTGGCGTGGTTGTGGTAGAGACTCTGGGACTGGGATTCCACGAGGGGTGGGCCCAGATTTCTCAGAGTATGTGACGCTGCGCGTCTGGGTTACCCTGAGTGGAAGCCAATGTCAACACCACTCTCAAAGCGCATGTTCAGATGCGAAAAGGTTTCCCCAGCAAGCTAAAAGGGCAATATCTGGTAAATACTTTAAACTCGCAAACACTTTTGAATCCTTTATATCACTTTAAATTTTACAACCAGTGAATGCTTTGTTGGAGAGAACGATTGTAAAATAAAATTTGTATAGCAGACATTCATAGCTGTGCAGATATTTCTGTGAATTGCTGAACAACATTATTTTCAACAGAACAGAGATTTACATGGTGGACAATTATTACAGCTATGATATTTTAAATAATTATAGTTAATAATGTTAAAACAACATCCCATACTCATAGGGTAATGAGTATGTTTTGCTAAATTGGCACCTAGAATCAGATGGTTGCTGATTGCATTTTAAAGAGAGGTATGAAATTATAAAATAAATAAAAACCATGAAACACTACAAATAAATAATACTATGCATATATGTAGGTTGTGCCTACTATTTTGGTCATTTTATGGCCTGCCTGAAGCACATTTAAATTTAATTTGTTTTGCTGTGGAAAATGGGTTTTATACCCCTGGACTAGACATTTTAAAGCTTTACTGAGTGTACAATACAGATATGCATGTTAAGTAAGTCCATAGCCAGTAACCACATTACACTTGGAAAGAAATCATTCTTACAGAAACTAAATTACTTAATTATGCTTTGAACTTTTTAAAAGTTTGGAAAAAGGAAAAGAAACTTCTAGTAAAGTAGAAAAACGTTAAACTACTGCATTTTATGTCCTGGAAACTTATTTAAATTCACATTACACAGCAACATTCCAAGTCACAGCAGGACTGCATATTATAGAAGTCCTCTGGGTACGTATTTGTCTTTGGTCTAACTTTGAAGTTTGGTAAGGTCTTATTCCAATTCCATGTAATCAGATTTAACCTGAACTATTTGTCAATAATATCCTCAAAGGCTGAAATTACGAAAAAGCTATGTGAATGCACTAACATTACTATACCCATCAAATCTAAAAAATGGCTTTCCTAATGTGCTTTTACGGTGAGAAAAAAATGCCTCTGGCCTAAAATTCCCAATGTGAAAGAAGAAGAAGATATAAAAGGAAGTTAATAATTACTGTTAGAGGAAAGATTTCAGTACTACTGAATACAAATCATAATTCTATTGAGTTAATGGTTGTATTAATTTGTAATTTTGTATTAAATGTAAAAAGGGAATACTTTTAAACCATAGACAGAGGTCTATACTTACCACTTGGAATCTATACTCTTTACTCAAGTGAGTCAAATGATGGAAACAGAACATGTAATGCAAATCAACTGCAGACATTGTCTATATCATACTAGTAGCTTATTTAACCAAACACCAGAAAGAGTAATAACATTAATATAACTAAATTTTACTTAAATAAATAAAAACTACCCACATCACTAATGTTGCTATATAAATCATGGGGTACATTTAAGAAATTTGTGTCCTAAATATCATTGATACTTTCGTAGTCATAACAATTTACGATACATCTCATAAATGAGATTACAAATGAAATTGACAAATTTAGGTAACATAGGTATTGCTGTTACTTGTATTGAAATGCAAGCCAACATAAAGTATGTCAGTAGTAACTGTGTATGCGGTTATGAAGTCTTGCAATCACAGCGATGAAAACCTTTCTACCCTTGCTTCTAATTTATCTTAAAAACACAGGGTTCAAATATTAATTCAGAGGCATCGGAAAAATACTGGAAAAAACACTTGCCTACAGGAAGTTACAACAAGCATTTAATATATACACCATTAAAATTTTTATTTGTATGTGCACAGCTCCCAGGATGGTGAAATGTGCTTTGTCAATCAACAGTGCATTAAAGGGGAAATAAGGCTGGTGTTCCACACATACAAGAAAGGTTAATACAAAATCCCAGCAAGTGTCATAGTCAAACAGCTCCAGGAACAATTCCATCTTCTGTGGCTACTATTTCAACTTGGCTCACTAAGCTTCAAGGACAGGTCCTAAGGAATGTTTGTCTGGCAAGATGCTAGACAAGCCTTAAAGACCTCAAGGTCCTCCTCATCTGTGTCTGCTTCAGCTGCCACCTCGACAAGCTGACCCGACCTGGAATGATCAAGAACACCTCTAGACTCTTCCAACATTCATGTCAGATGGTGAACTGCTGGCTGAATGCAGCCACACTGGTATAGTTCTTTGCCTACAAAAGTCTCTCAATGCTAAAACAGCATTACGAAATGTCTGGCAGTCAACTGTTATAAGAGGAGCTTCATTATGCAGGCTCACGGCTATAAGTTTGCCAGCCAATATAAAAAGATAAATACAAAAATATATATATAGTGCACTAAATCAGCACTCAATTAGGCTGGAAGGTGGCCTTCATGGCTTAATCCCTTAACTTAATTCCATGACTAACTACCACAGGCATGTAGCTGCATTACTTACTCTCACTGCCAAAACAACCACTCAGTTATTTGATTAGGGCGGGCACCTCCAACACCTTCAAAATGCAGAGGTATTCTTTTTTTGGGCTCCTTAAACTTAGAAAGTCACAGGCCAGTCAGTTTCTGATACTACTGTGTTTTATTTTGGTTTCTAAACCCTTTGGTTCTATGCTAGATTTGTAAGAAAATAATTTAATACCACATGAAGACACTGACACCTCCATACCCACGACTCTATGATCTCTTAGTAAATGTGATGGACAGTTACAGATCATCAGCTCAGAGCTGGCTTTAGGACTGTAAAACAGATATGAGTACTTGCTATGGATCAATCAATCTAGACAACACATAATGGAAGAAAATGCACAAAGCCAGGGCTCTTTACCTTGGACACTTGCAGGTTTGTCTGCATCACGGAAGTCACAGATCTCTTTCCATTTGTTCTGCACTGCCTCAGGAGTCATTTTCTGATTTTTCTGCCTGACAATGCTGCCTTTCGTTCTCTCCCAGCGCACTGATTACAGGAAAAAAATAGGAAATTGCTGACTCAGGTCATGCACTTAGAAAAACAACGAAAGAAAAAAATAGATCTTTCTCAGAAGCAATTCTAAAATACACATACAAAAACGTATTTTTTATTTTAGAGAAATGATAATGCATGTCTTTTCAATATTGAAGTTATATTAAATCAGATTATGTGCCTTCTTCCACATACTAGAATTACATTATTTGAGTTAGGAGTAATATAGTATTTTATTATGCTGAGACATTTTTTATTAAATATTTATAAAAATATTATATCAGTCAGTTTTAAAAATAAAACCAATTTCAATTGGTTAAAAATCACAATGAACAGGTTTATGTTTAAGTAACACTGAATAAAATTATAAGCAGGGATTCAAAAAAGTGTTAGGTTTGCAAGCTCGCTATTCTAAAAAAAACTGCCTATCTATTGTTCAGATAATGTAAAGTACAATAATGTACCATTGTGTGAACCTAGTGACTGAAAAATTCAATTGACTTGGCGATGTATGAATACAGTCCACATTCCTCTGATCAATGTTCTACATTGTATGTTGATATATACAGACAATTATCTCCATTATTCCATGGACAATCTGCGTATTTTGTTTTTCTTTTTTTAACCTGATTTTTACTAACTAGACTGTGCTGGAGACAAGGTACTCAGATTCACTTAGGCACTTCACTGAAATACTCACAGGAATAATCAGGCCTATATGACAAATTTTGAATTATATCACTACTTTACAAGTGTAATCAATCTTCCTTTTCCTTTCTAAACCAAAGATCTGTCTTGAAATATGACTTCAGAATAATGAATAAATTGTGACAATTGCACTCTTTTGTATTGTAATCATGGGAAGCAGCATGAGCTATTGAAATATCAGATATTATTCATGTGCCTAGGTAATGATCAATGATACAATGGAAAAAAAGTGTACTGGTTTCCGAATGGCATGCCTGTCATGTGGTGTAACACACAGATTAAGTTCAGGTTAAGCCTAAAGTGCCAAACAATGTAATATAATAAGCCTCAATCCAAATACAGCACACACCTTGTCTCACAATATCACTCATCTGTTATAGAACTATTTAACAAAATACATTCACTTACATTTACCAATCCAACCAGCTCCCACCTATAAAAACAGAAATAAAAAGAGAAAAAATGAGAAATACTGGAATAAATGCACTGCAAGATACACTGATTTAACACTCTAACACTACATAACACTATTTAATATTATACCATTTAACAATATACACTTCAGAAAATTTTACGCAGTAAATCATTTATTGTTGATTAAATATAGTCTCTGTGCTCATGTCTATAAAATGATGGGCATCAGGCTCCTGGTTAGGAACATAACTCCCAACTGTAACATGATTTCTAAAGGAAAATCATATTTGCCTTTCCTTTCAACCTACAATGCCTTATCATAAAATTTTTTGAGTAAAAATTAAGTTAGAAACTTCAGTTCAGTTTTCTCAGCTACACTCAGTTATACAGAAGACAGGACTTGACAGGAGAGACCTGTTGGCAATGGATCCAGGAACTCTTGACCCCAGAACCATGGTTAAGAAAACCAAGAAGCATCTTCTTATAGTATCTAGAAGGCCTCAACAGTACAAAACACACTTTGCTGTGATGACGCACTAGGAGTAAAGTCGTGGCCTTCTTTTGCACAGATCCACTTGCTGAGGAATTTTATTATCATCTCAAGGACAGTCTGGAGAATGAGCTTTTCACTTATATTAAAGTTGTCTACACCATTCAGTTTACTTTCAGAATTTGAAGCGGACAAAGAGCTGCTGCTCTGCTCTGTCATCTACCGGCAAAGACAATCAGTGACACACATTCAGCAGGTGACAGTATCAGAACCTCTACTGCATCTGGACAAAACAGAAGGACAGAAGCTGCAGATCAAACCTGCATATTGCTGGTCAGCAGGAATGCACCAAGGGAGATGATCTTATTAACCTTTTTATTTGCTGTATATATACTTAAATGTTTAACCTCATGGGTCACCACCAGGATCACTGAATTTAAAAGGGAGCATCATTTAAAGAAGTTTCAAAATGACTCTTAGAAATCAACTAATTATTCTCTTAGTAAATTATTTTTTCTCTCTGAACTCACAGATCTCTCCTTGTTAGGATTGCTGATGTACAATTAAGTACAGCTGACAGCACGTGTCTTGTGCTGTGAATTTAGTGACACCTGTCACATACAAAATAAATTGTCTAAACTAATCTAAACTAATCATTTATCCTTTGAATCTGACAGCTGTGACAGCTATTCTGTCCTTTAGTCCTATTCAGTCACAATATTCAGTTTTCCTTAACTAAGTATTAGAATTTTCTCTAATCTGTAGCACATTTCTAAAAGAATAAGCCTGAGGTCCTGAATAAAATTAATGCAGAGTGGATTTTGTGGCCTTATTTACAGGCTATACTACATGGTAAAATTTCCATTATTAAAATAAAAAAAATAGCTCCTGCATTACATATTTTCCATGATCTTCATTTCACTTAATCCCAATCAATATTCAGAACAAGTTATAATTAATTTCATTCACAATGTGTTAAGTGTACAAGGGTTTGGGTGATGGACTTTCAGAATTCAAATATTCAGATTGCTATTATGTTTTCCATTGAGGTTATTTAGTGTCCTTTTTTTCTCAGAATGAAAAGGATTTCAGCACGTAAAGCATTTCAACCAAGCAGTAATAAACAAATACATGATTTTTATCAAAGTGTCCAAACTTTGAATCTACCTATGCATAAAGTGATAAGGAGAGCTCCCTTTTATTAATGTTTTATTTTGTGAAACGCATAATTATATAAATGAACAAAATGTTCTATTGAAATAAACATTTCCGTTACGTTAATAACAAATAAGGGCTAAAGTTTTAAACCTATAAATGTGGCATTTTTGATGAAATCATATGCCAATTCTTCAACAGAGAAATTGTCACAGTTTAGCCCTCTTCTTATAAAAAAAAATAGATCTTAGAATATCCCATCCATACTTAACTGTCAATAACCCATCACTGAACTTTAAACATAAACACTGAAAGTTTTAATTGTTGTGATACATATCTCTTTTAACACAAAATGCTGTTTTTTATAACCAGTTTCATGTTGTTACCACACAATAATCAAGGTAGTTACTGTATTAAGAGCAGGCGAGTTAAAAATAAAAAAAACAACATCAAAGAAAGTCATTATAAATAGTCAAGACCAAAAGCTGATGAGAGTTAGTGACATGGAAAAAAGGCCACATCATGCTGTGAATATCAATTAATATTCACAACAGGGCTGGGGCTTAATGTACCTTCATGGACAACCAGTAGATATAGAAAAAAACTGATATTATAAAGCTGGCGCAACTAACCTTGACAAACTAACCTTCCTCTTCACAGCTTTAGAGGATCCACTACACTCAATACTACAATATTACACCTTAACAGGAAAGTTTAAATAAATATTATTTGGGACTTTTTTTTACACAAATGTCTCCATCAAGGCACCTTTAAGAGTACACTAACATAAGTAACACCACTTTACAAATATTGACACAGACACAGAATATCAATAAAAAATAACTATGAAATTATCGTTTCAAAACAAAATGTTTCATTTTTGCACATTTTTCACAATTCAAACACAAACTACAAAGCATGTATTTTTTTAAAACATTTTTCAACAAAGCTGACAATTTCATATCTAATGAGTGGAGAGACTAGCATTCTACTCCACTAGCTGCATTTGATAATAATAAATAATAATAATTGCTTAAACTTATATAGCGCTTTTCTGGACACTCCCCTCAAAAGCGCTTTACAGGTAATGGGGACTCCCCTCTACCATCACCAATGTGAGGCATCTACCTGGATGATGCGACGGCAGCCAAAGTGCACCAGAACGCTCACCACACATCAGCTATCAGTGGGGAGAACAGAGTGATGAAGCCAGTTCATAGATGGGGATTATTAGGAGTTCATGACTGGTAAGGGCCAATGGGAAGGACGACGCCATCACTATCCTGGGGCATTAGGACCCACATAGACCACAGGGTGAGCGTCCCCTACAGGCCCCTCTACAACCTCTTCCAGCAAAAACCTTAGTTTTTCCCAGGAGGTGTCCCATTCAGGTACTGACCAGGCTCACACTAGCTCAGCTTTAGTGGGTTGCTAATTGTGAGTTGCAGGGTAATATGGCTGCTGGCCACTGTGAAATATCATGAAAAGTGTGTGAAATGTAAAGAATCCACTTCACCTTTATCATAGAAACATTATATATCTAGCTGGAGCAGTTGGAATAACTTCTCTTTTAACCACTTTGTAGGATTTTTACAATCATACTTGAACTGACAAAGCTAAATAAAGCTTTGTGCTTTTTGATTTTCACATTCAACATGCAGTGTGTTTCATAGAATCTGCATAGAAAGACTCCAACAGAAAATTTGCAGATGCAAGGATATCTCTCCACCGTGTTGCTCATATTTTGTCATAGAAGGATGCATGGTATCACCCTTTTTTTCCCCTTTTCTCTTTCTTACCTCATCTTATCTTATATGGTGTGTTTCTGGACTGTTGCTTGACACGTAATAATTTACTCACATCTTAATTAACTAAGGTAAACCAATTTAAACTTTTTAATTGCCTTGATCACAGGATCTGGACCCCCTACACCTCAGCAAACATCCCCTTTACTTTGTAACTGGAAATGTTTACACTGCCAGGTGTTATACACTTTATCTCTAAGAGGCACTTTCTGACATTCAGATGATTGAGACTAGTTTATACTTTGCGGTTTTTCCATTTAATGCAAAGATGGCAGATGGCAGCGATAAAAGAAGAAAAATAACTTCCACACAACCTTTTAAGAACCAAACATAGGCAGGCACAGTTAGCCTCAACAATACCTCTAGGGCTCTCAGCTTCCTACAATTGATCTACTGGCTACATGGAAGTCTTACTGACATTTTTTAAATACTATTAATGTAACCACTAGGTACTCAAGCAACTCTCTGGCAATGGGGAAAATGGTTGAATAATTCATATAAAATGTAGCAAAAGCTAGGTTTCTTGGTTAAATGAATGTAATCACAGTGCAGAAAATGAAAATTGTTCTGCAAGTACATGAAAGGCAGGCCCAAAAGAACAAAGGCCAAAATAATTGGCCAAACGTTAGCTAAAAAAGGTTATGATTTAAGTGAAGTAAATTAACTTAAATTTAATAACTTTCATCCACCTCCCTGCAGCTATTTTAAATAATGTTAATATTTTAGGCTTCAGCATCAACAGTGACAAACTAATGCAGAATAATTTACTCATATCGCAAAGTCACGCAGGTGCCATCACGTACAGTATTTCCAGCAATCTCATTTGCTGCATCTCATGCAGAAAATGCCTAGCCGTTTACATTGGTGAGACAGGAAGAAGTCTGGCAGACCATTTCAGGGAACATGTCAGAGCTGTGCGGATCAAAGATCTCTCCAAACCGACTGTTCCCCATTTCCATCACCTCTGATAGCCATGATCTTTCTCAACTCTATGAATGCCTCTTCATAGAGCTTTGTCAGAACTCCTATTGCAGAAAGATATCCAAGACCAAAATGATCCTTAAACTTGGACCACACCACCCCCCTTCTATAAACGACAGACTCATCTCCGTTTAAATCTATTAATTTGCAGTTCCACAACTGCCAATTAGTTTGGCGTTCCACAACGTTCCTTCTGTTCTTACTCATTTCTCACTTGCTGTATGCACATTTCCTCACTGCTCCACCCTTCTTACCTACTCTGTCTTTTGTTCTCCTATGCCTTGTTTATCTACTACTTTCCTTCTTTTCCCCACAGAAGACCCCACAGTTTCTTTTCTTTACCCTTCTGTGTGGAATGAACCTTTACATGTTTCTTTACAGCCTATGCATGCTGACACAGCTACTGTACCTACACAAATGTCTTCACAGAGCAAGATATCAGGAGAAAAAAATGAAAGTATCTGATGTAGTATGACTGCAATTTCCTTTATTTAAATTTAATTTAATTTTATTTCCTTAAAATGAATCTATAGTATTTAAAAAGCAAAATCATAATGAAGGTCAATATCTTCCAAATCTTTTTCAAAGCCAAATGTAGGACATGCAGGTATTTCTATCTGTTAATAAAGAAAATATAATGGTTTATAGTTAATACTGCATCCCCAATCACAACAAAACATTTTTTTCCAGCCTACTAACAAATAGATCAAACAACTTACCTGTAAATGTAACTTATAAAATAGGAACACTGTTGTAATATAACCTTGAGCTTTAGTGAGGGAGATATTACATCATCCACTAATTTAATAAAGTACTTTCCGAAACCTCCATCAGTTAAGGAAGCATCTACACACTCTTTTTTATACTATCTATTGGTACTTGGCTCTGAAATGTGGTCCAGATTATATATGCTCAAAAAATACAGTTGTTTACTTATTGTCTAAGTAGAATGACATAGAAAGAGTAAAAATAAAGAAGTAGAATGAAAACATAGGGATTAAACAAACATTAGAATTTTATCTGAACGCCAAAATGTATATTTTACAGTGCACATTTGTTAGAACAATGTCCTTGTTCTACAATTTGCATAAGATGCAAGAAAACTCATTTCATTAGCATTATGTCTTTCTAATTAGCATACATATTTACCCAGTTAACATCAGAGTAACCACTGGAAATTTCCAGAGAGTTTGAGGTGAGCAGATGTCTGTGCTTGAACACATTCCTGAGCTTTAATTAGTTTTATGAATAATTCTGAATAACAATTATATATTAAATCACCTGTTCTAGAAAGAATATTCATGATAAAACTAAAACATTTGTCTGAATCTCTTTATACTAAATGACATTACAATAAAAATGTCAGGAAGCAAATAAGTTGAAAAAAGGCCATTACAAGTCAAAATGTAAACAGATCTGAAGAATAAGCATAGATATAAAACAGTAAATCCATATGGTAATTTATCAATTTTGCCACAGTTTTTCCAAGTTTGTTTTGCTCTCTTCGTTGATGTGCTTTGCTTTATTTTGCAATTTACATAATGGCTTATTTGGCCTTACTGCACTCCAAGGTGCTTTTTGGCACAGTATAACCTAGTAAGTGTTTACAGGAGAGCCAAAAACAAAATAAAGGATTTTGGCACTGCAGAACAGGGCATTAAGATGTCTTTAATATGTCTGGCTTATTGTCAAGGACAAATATGTTATTTTCTTATCTCCTTACCTCAAAGACACTACCATTTTCTTGGCAGCTCTCGTGGCACAACCAAAGCACAAGAGGAGCAACATATTCAGCCTTGAGGGATGCCAAAAGATCTAGGCAGTAAAAACAACAGAAAAAAACAAGAGTTTAAGAGTGTAATTAACAGTAGTATTGTCCACCTATAGCAAAGTTATACCTAATATAGTTTTTTATCACACATCTAACATCACACAGGCAAAAGCTAGTCTGTTTCACACTACAGGACTCTCCATGACTTCTAGTCGGAGAGCATGTCAAATTTAATGACTGTAGTTGCTGAATCTTGCTGCCTTTTCTGTCCTAGAGGGAGTTAAATTATACTGTATAACTAGGAATCTCAGGGGGTGACTTATTACACGATTCCCTCACAACTTTTCATCACGGTTCCAAATCTTGTATTGCATCGTGAAAGTACCACGAGGACGCCTAATTTTGGCAGCCAAACAACGTGGAGCACAACGGAATAAGAGGAAGAGAACCGCACAAAAGTAAACAAACAACAAACACAAAAATGACAAACACGAAACATCGAACAGACATCTGTGCTGGCTCCAAAGTTCGACGAGCCTCTGCTCCATTTGCACAGTCCAAAACACTTGCTTTCCTTTTTTCCTTGCAGCTGCATTGTATGCATTGTACTTCCGGTTGAGCGCTCGTCGGCTGTTGACTGTCGCAGACACAAGAGCCTACACCTATGACTTGAGACTCACTACGAGAAAATCAAACTTGATTTTATCGTAGCGAGTCACAGAGTCATAGGGGCTATTAAGAGCGCTATGACTGAGTCTCTGGGGGTGTCACACTACACAACTGACGGTAACGGGCACATGCTGCAACTCTCTACAACTCGCTGTGATTTCCTTACGATTATGTAAATGAGGCCTACGACTGAAAATCCTAGGAAAAGTCGTGTAGTGTGACACCATCTTAATCCCAAACATGCTTGTGATGCCACCCTTTGTTCTTACTGCCTAATCCACTGTTAACAAATATATAGTTAGATGTTTTGATTGCATAATCCAAACTTTTAGCAACATAATCCACTCTTTCACCAACATGGTCCATACAATCTAAATCTGTTAATCAAAACCAAAACAACAACTTAATTTTGTAATAGATTAGAAGCATATAGAACACAATTTATTATAGTTAACTGTAGTACAACAATCATCATCAACCAATTTGTTATTGGTTAAAAGTGTAACCATTGTTAAACTGTTACATTTTAAATGTAGTAGGTATACACAGTATAATGTGAAATTGAAAAGTGCAGAATATGTCATAATTCAGTTTCCTCAGTGCAATCTTTTACAGCAGTAGTATTTTGTCTTGGTTTTTTACAAAACCAACCTTAAGATTTAAGAAAAGTTCTTTATTTTCATCATATTTCAAATACATTTCCAACCCATCCACTTTTCGCTCATATACTGTCTGAAGACTGCTCATTAGCAAAGCAATTAAATGCTTCATCTGTAAGTGGTTCAACAAAGCATAAACCTCACACATAAGTATTTTCTTGTGTATAATTAATTAACAGCATGCAAAAGCTGTGATTTATACTGCTGATTAAACGCTTGACATGGTTTATCCCTTACAGAATTGGCTAATAGAAAACAGATAAGCTTTCAGATAGTACAGATAAGGGGTGTATATTCAAATTGGGGTGATATGTACTGGGACCACTGTAATTACTTATTTATATCAATGATTGAGATTTATGCAAAGTAAGTAAACTTGTCAAGTTTACAGAATACCAAAATAGGAGATTTAGAAATTTAAATTAAAGATTGCGCATACTCTTAGCAGATGATGTTTAATGTAGACAACTGCAGAATTGTATATGCTGGTAGCAAAAACAAACTATAGATACCAAATGGGAAATGCTGATCTTAAGGAGACTAAGTAAAGGGTGTTCATGATGTGTAAACAGGCAGTAGGGTCAGAAAAAAATGGAGATCTTTGTCTGAAACACATTCCCTAGAATGCAATGTAGAATGAGTTGCTGCCTTCAATTATCTGACCAACTCTGAGAAGATGGTTGGTCAGATAATAATTTAAAAAATAAGGGAGCAGAGGCTTCCAGGGTATAATCTGCTGTCAGGAGAGAAATTCACCATAGGGAAGATGAATGTGAAGGAAGTGACCCACCAAAACTTAGGGAACTAAGGACATGTGTGTTTTGGAGAAGTATCTGAGATACATACAATGTTTTTGGAGAAATACACTTCTGGTATGTATTTATGACAGATTGACAATAGGCTAACGGATGTGATTTTCTTGATAGAATAAAAACTAAATGGAAAAGACAGGCAATACAAGGACAGCTAAGAACTGTCTGCTAAAGTCCTCCCTAAAATGTCTCTAAATGGTCAGAATTTGATGAATGATAGCTATTAGTTCCTATTACATCAACTTTTTTGCCTGCCAGGTCAGTTTTAAAACTTACGGGGGCCTTCGGCAGCCTTTATTTTTGCTTACTATACTTTCCACATGGATTTACACGGGAAAGTTCTACTCTACAAAAGTTACTTTTTCAAAGGTGAGGAATCTCGTCTTTTGGTGAATTTTTGCTTTTGCCTTTTGCTAGAGAATCAATTATTACTGATGGACTTTGGACCTTCTCTAAAATGAAAGGCTAGATATACAGTTGCAAGAAAAAGTGTTGTGAACCTTTTGGAATTACCTGGATTTCTGCATTAATTACTCATAAAAGTGTGGTTTGATCTTCAACAAAGTCACAATAATAGATAAACACAATTAGCTTAAACTAATAACACACAAACAGTTGTACTTCTTCTTGTCAATACTGAACACATCGTTTAAACATTCAAATCAAAGTTTATTTATCAAATGCACAACAATACAGCAGTAGCATGCAGCAGTAGTTGCTGGCAATGAAATTTCTTTTCTATGAGCTCACCGGGGGGGATAAAAATCAAAAAAGTTACAACAGAAGGTTACATAATAATACATAATAGTACAATAGAAATTGAAAAAAAATAAACTCAGACAATACTCAATATGAATAGAGCTGTTATGTGTCCGTGGAGTATGCAATATATTATGTCCTAGTAGTGCAGTATGATGAATACAATGAAAACTGTGTGTCCATGTAGCCATTACGGGTGATTTGCTAAAGGAGCTGCAGATTGGCTGTTCAGCAGTCTTATTCCCTGGAAGTTGAAGCTGTTCCGTAATCTGTTGGACTTTGACCGAATGCTTCGGTACCATTCACCAGATGGTAGGGGGGAAAACAGTTTGTGACTGGGATGGGTGGGGTACTTGAGAATGGACCTGGACTTCTTAAGACTTCTAGCTGAGTAGATATCCTGGATGTTTGGTAGCTCACAGACGGTAATGAACTGTGCTGACTTCACCACCCTCTGCAGTACTTTGCGATCCCATGCGGAGCAGTTCCCATACCAGGCAGTGATGCAACCAGTGAGGATGCTCTCAACAGTGCACCTGTAGAAGTTGGCCTGGATATGTATTGGCATGCCAAACGTCTTTAGCCTGTGAAGAAAGAATACCCGCTGCCGTGCTGTTTGTGTGGTGGGTCCAGGTTAAGTGCTCCGTGATGTTAACTCCCAGGAACCTAAACTGCTGACCCTCTCCACTGCAGTCCCATTGATATACTGTAGATAGGTGTGTGATCTCCTCCCTGGTGTTTCCTATAGTCCACAATCATCTGGAAAAAGAATGTGAACCCTTGTATTTAGTAACTGGTAGAACCTTCTTTAGCAACAATAACCTCTACCAAACGTTGTCTGTAGCTGCTGATGAGACTTGCACAATGGTTAGGAGGAATTTTAGACCATTCCTCCTTACAAAAGTGTTTCAGTCCATTGATATTTCTGGGATTCCTTGCGTGAACAGCTCTCTTCTGGTCATGCCACAGCATCTCAATTGGGTTGAGTTCTGGACTCTGACTTGGCCATTCCAGAAGATGAATTTTCTTCTGTTTAAGCCATTCTGTTGTTGATTTACTCCTGTCTTTCGGGTCATTGTCTTGTTGTATCAACCAACTTTTAAGCTTCAGGTGACATTCTCCTGTAAAATGTATTGATACAATTTTGAATTCATTGTTCCCTCTATATTAGCAAGCAGTCCAGGCCCTGAGGCAGCAAAGCACCACTAAACCATGATGCCCCCTCCACCAAGCTTCACGGTTGGGATGAAGTTTTGGTGTGCAGTGATTTTTTTCCTCCAAACATAGCATTGCACGTTTCTGCCAAAGAATTCAACTTTTGTCTCATCCGTCCACAGAACATTGTCCCAGAAGTGTTGTGGAGCACCCAGGTGGTCTTTTGCAAACTTGAGATGTGCAGCAATGTTTTTCTTGGAGAGCAGTGGTTTCTTCTATGGTGTCCTTCCATTAACACCATTCCTGTTCAGTGTTTTTCTTATAGTGGACACATGAACAGAGACTTTGGCAAGTTAAAGAGATTTCTGCAGGTCCTTTGCTGTTACTTTAGGGTTCCTTTTCACCTCCTTCAGCATTGCACGCTGCACTCTTGCCGTGATCTTTGCAGGACACCCACTCCTAGGGAGAGTAGCAACCGTACTGAATTTCCTCCATTTGCTGACAATTTGTCTGTGGATTGATGAATGCCCAGGCCTTTAGAAATGCTTTTGTAGCCTTTTCCAGCTTTATACATCTCTACAATTCTTCTTCTAAGGTCCTTTGATATTTCTTTTCATCAGGGCATGGTTCACATGAACAGCTCTTTCTTGAGAAGAGCAGACTCTGTCAGTAACAAACCTTTGTTTGCCTTTTTTATAGGGCAGGGCACCTCCAACCCACACCTCCAATCTCATCTCACTGATTGGAACACCTGACTCCAATTAGCTTTTGGAGAAGTCATTAGCCTAGAGGTTCACATACTTTTTCCAACCTAGACTGTGAATGACAGTGAAGAAATACAATTGTTTGTGTGTCTTAGTTTAAGCAGATTGTGTTGGTCTATTATTGTGACTTTGATGAAGATCAGACCACATTTTTACTAGTAATTAATGCAGAAATCTAGGTAATTCCAAAGGGTTCACAAACTTTTCTTGCAACTGTACCTTCAGA